AAATGATCTGTACAGAAGCAGGTAGCGCATATTAAAAATCAACTCTTAACTTTACACTTATAGCTGTAATTGCATTTAGAAATAGCAACTGGAACGCTGAGTTAAAACAAGAAATGAAAAAAAAAAAAAAAAAAAAAACACTGGTAACTTTCCAACTCGTCGTCAAAACACTGCTGACTGCATATCAGCTTTCAATACACTCGCTCAGAGAAAAACTAAAATATTACCTGTTTGAAAATGCAGATTTTTTTTCTTAGTTTATTAGTTTATTCATAGTTTTATTATATAAAAAATAGATTATTTTTTTATATATAATTTGGTTATTAAATTTTTGTTATTAAACTGGAAACTCAAGCTATTCATATGCAAAATGCAGCATTTTGCATTGGCAAAAGAGTCAAACGTCTGGATTCTGAAAGAAACTATTTGCAATTTGCAAATGTATGGACATTTTTACACATAATACTTACTGTATATGATAACTGGGAAATGTAGGCCTTAAAATGACGCATTTTACAACATAGCTGGTGAAGGTTATAAATTTTGCTATATGGTGTTCTATGTATGTCAACATTGCGGGCAAAGAAGTGGAAATTCCATGACCAATCCAGTTGAGGTGAAAGGGAAAAAAGGGTCACAACATAAAGGCAGAAATTTTCTCTTGAAAAACATCTATCATACTATTAATATACAAGCTCAAAAACCCCAAATGCCACAAAATTAAGACTTTTGGGAGACTTTAAGACTTAAAAAAAAAAAGAAAACCCTACACACTGGACTCAACCCGTATGTACTAAATTGGGAGTGTGCATGTTTTTATCGAGTGCCAGCCTCATGAGGTCACCACTGCTTGGCACCGTTTGATTGAACTTAAACAGTAAAAGTAAGAAGCAAAAACATTTCCCTGTTCTATTCGAGTGAAAATGTGAAGAGGCTTAGCTAAAGCAACCGCAGCGAAGGCATTTCAACCTTCCTCGACTTTGATTCCATGCCTCTTAGTGTATAAATAAGGGCAGCATTCATGCACCTTTATTACGGTTTGATATGGCCTCTCATTGTGCAAAACATAGCCCACCTACATGCTACAATTTGCAGTGCATTTATTATTATTGACCAAGGTCCATGGGCCGCCTACATTCTAAAACAGCGAGCAAAGATTTCTGCTGTGCTTCTCTCCAGGATTCATCCTGTCCTTTGGATTGAAGGTGCTTGAGTGTCTACAGCAAACCAATGAAGACATTAGATGAGCATAAACGTATGAATTCTCTCAATGCAGATGGAGCCATCTGAAATCACGGCTCTGGGATTCAGTCCTCTGCCTCCTTCACTATTCTCTCCTTTTCTCCCTCGTCCCTTCTTTCTCAATTGTGTCCCTCGCCTCTGGCAAATGGGAGTCATTTGTTTGTGTGAACTTCCCATAACCCAGAGTGTGCGGGACACTTATCATTCAGAGTGGGGCTGCGTCGTGCGGAGTTGTAATACCTCTTCTTCTTCTTCTTCTCTCTCCCCTCTCTTTTCTTCCATTTTTTTTTGCACCCCTTTCACGCCAGCTCGCTATGTCTATTTCAGTTGACTTTCACCATGGTTCATCATATATGAGTCTCCATATTTCTCAGTTGTTTTTTTTCCACTCCCCTTCAGAGCCCTGCAACCCCGTCCCCCTCTTCTACAGTACATCCCCCACCCTTCTTTCTGTCTCTCCCTTTTTGCTCTGCAATCTCATTCCCTGTGTAATCTTGGGGTGCACAGGACCATTTTATTACTGCTCGACTTGTCTTATCATCCACACTGTCATCTCCTCTGTCTCATGTCCTTTTCATATTCCTTTATTCTAACAAGCCTGCATCTCAGGACCCATCAGTGGTCCACCCCTTTTCATTTCCCTAATGTAACTCAGTAAAGACACACACACACACAAACTCACCCTCTATGCCCCTAACCCCTAATTTCATTGCTCTAACCTGCTCCCCATCAACATAATGCAGAGTGCACCTTAGTTCCCCGCATCTATGTAAATTACTGCATGTGTGTAGCCAGCTGTTTAGTAAGCAGTTTTTACCTTTTACCTATCTGTATGGATTATCTCTGCACGTAAAATAAGTGGAAGCAAGACGGCTTAAACAGGGGACAAGGTTGCAAAAAAGGAAAACAGACAGAATGGTGTGACTGGAGACAGAGGAAGAGGGGAGGAGAAAAAAAAGTGATTTTAAGGAGGGAAAGCTGTCATTGAAGGTTGAAGTGAACCCTCAACCCTGCCGCTTGCTTTAATCCCTCATTTATGTGAACTCAGCTTTGGAAATGAAGCTGTCGCCGTATTTTCCTCCCTTCGCCCTGCTGTGGTATAATCAGAAACCACACATTGATTCAAGCCATACGAAGTCGCAGGACAGAGACACAGAAAATCACTCAGGAGAGGTTTTGAAATTCACTCCAAGAGTTGGAGGCAGAGATTCATGCCGTCTCACCTTGTCTCCTGGAGGAGGAATCATTGGATATGTTGGAGACATAGGGGGAATTATGGGTAAATGCAGTGGCAAGGAGTGATAGTCTGCGATCTCTGGCTGTAATCTGGGGTCGGTGTCACACGCCATTCACTTCAGACTGTCTCAGCACCGACTGGCTTTGCTGTCTTTTTAAAATAAGTTTCATGAAATGAACCCAAAGTTAACATTTCTAACAATTTCTGGAAATGTTTTTTTTCTTCTTTTTTCTAACAATTATGGTGCTTTTATTTTAAATTGGTTGATAAATTGTCATTTAAATGACAACCATTTTCTTTGCCTTTTATTGTTTAGTTTTATTTTATGTCGTACATTATACTGTTTAACAACTGCACTAAAACACATGATGCAAGCTTAGTTTTTTAAAGAATATATATATATATATTTATTTATCTATTAGGTCAAAGTTGATTGACAAAGGACATAAAAGCCATTAGTGTTATTTTCTAAAGCTAACGTAGACTTATACTGCCATCTAGTGGTCTGAGAGCAAAAAAAACTTTATTTAAAATAGGATGTATTCAGAAATAGAAAAAAAAATGCTTTTCAGGTCACATTTTGCAAACTGAATATTGTGTCTTAATAGATTATATAAGGAACTGCTATGCTAAACACGTGCCGATTTTTACTAAGTGAGAATTCAATGATGATGCCAGTTATAGTATTACTAGTAGAAGCTGATTCTACTTGGTCTTTCCTTTTTTAACAAGAGGGGTTCAAGTTGGATGAAGAAGAGTCTTAAAATGTTTGCCGGTGGAAAAATTAAATCGATACCATTTCCGCCTTTTAGCCAGATGCAAACCGGGATGATCACAGTTCATAAACCTCACTTACGGACAACCGAACAACATTAAATAAAAAAAAAAACGACATTTCATATTCCTGTCCATCCTTTGTTCCTTTATCCCTCTATTTTCCCCCCCTTGTCATCCTCCTCAGGTGGAGCAAGCATCATACTGGTGTGCAATAGCATGCTGTCAGTGTGGGCCGCGGTGAGGTGTGTGGAGGAGAGCGGCGCGTCTCAGATGAGATATGTGACTGGCATGCTAACACTCAGTTTTATCTGAGGGAAAGGAGAGAGACAGGGCCCCCACATCTCCTCAGTATAGGCCTTTGATTAAAGCTCACTGGGTACACACACATGGACACACTTCCAAACGCACGCATGTGAGTGTACGCACACGCGGGCGCTCGGATTATAAATAAATTGCAGGTAGGAGCATGCACACGTACTGTATATGCACCTACACACATCTCCCTGTCGTAGGTGGTGTTGTTTTGACCTAAGCCAGGTAGCTTGTCCATTATGGAGTTGATGGAAGGATTTGGCCATGTTGATTCTAGACAACATCATATCCTCTGCCATAAATACCCTGATTTTTTATTTATTTTTTTTATTTTTTTTATTCCAGTGACTCACACAGCAATATACACAGCATAAGAGCTCTCAGCTTTATCCTTCGATCTCTTCTGCTGCAAGCAAAACCTCACGTAAATCCAAAGAAAATGACAGGAAATGATTGTGCGGGGACAGATGTAAACAAAATCAAAGATTTTAAACATGCTCTCGGCTGGTTACAGCGTCAATTACCATCTTATGTCCTAGTTTGGTTTCAGTGCTTGTCACCGAGTGTGTTTTCTCTGACGGACAGATGAAAAAATACAGTTTGATTTGAGATGAACAGCATCTTCTGGCAGTGAGGTCTCAACAGCACACCAATAAAGCTTTGTATATAAAGTCTATATCCAGAAACAATGGAGCTGTGGTGGAGTGTGATGGCTTCCGTGAGAGAAGTTAATAGACGAACCATACGGCATATTACAGCAGGCGAGGAAGGGATTTCGAAATACTTTTTGTCAATTTGTCATGTTCCTGTTGTGATTGTTTTTTTGTTTTTTTTTCTTTCAAAATCAAATACCTTAAAAGGTGGAGCAGTTTAAATAAGAATGATAGTATAGTTTTTCTATACACATATATGTGTATTCCTTTTCCTTATGTAAAGCTGACCCACAACGTCCCAGATCATCCTTTGCTTAACACTGGGTGCTTTCCAAAGGTGTCACTGCTTGTTATTTTTCACCAACACTGGTCTTTGGAGCTTTAGTTTTATCTCCCTTACCATCCTGCTCACTGTGTGTGATGGCAAGATAAACATGGGTCCCCCATCCTGTCTTGTTTGTCATAGTTTCTCTACATTCTGACCACTGGCAAGCTGAGTGCTCTACCCTACAAACCCTTAATGTAGACCTCCAAATGATTCCAAGTGTACTGTGTCCATCAGATGACTACTTACACCTTCTTGGACTCTCAATGTGGAACTATCACAATATCTGGCATATCGGGCATATTGTTATAGAATATCAACTTCTACTGGTAGTCAAATTATCATTTAAGAGGGTTGTAATCAATATTTCATTTTGGAAATGCACACATCATTTATACAATGCAAACAAAAATAAATACAACTGTAAAAAATGATAGAGGAACTGAAAATGTTCAAATATAAATTTGTATTGCAACAAATAAATTTTTGCACTCGAGATTACATTGTTAAAATTTCTTATGTCCATATATTGTTTTAATTGAAGTCAATTAAAACAAAGAATGATCTATTTCTAAAATTTGCAAATTCTTTTATGATTTAGTATGTTAACATTCATTTACATTCTTTTTTTTTTTTACACTATGCTGTTTCATGTTGAACCATTTGTCTTTTAGCTAATCTACTTTGCGTGCAAATCCAGTTTTGGGTCAGGTCAAGTCAGAGAGCCAAGCTGGCTGGTTTTGGAGACTGTGTCAGGTGTCAGTCTGGGTTAGATGGGTAGCTGATGAGCAAACATTGGAATAACTCAAAAGCAGCTAAATGGCAGTTTCTGCTTGAAAATGTATACCTCATTAAAATGTCTAACACTGAATTGTTCTTTTTATTTTCCATTCTACTTCATTCAGACAAATCGGCATTGCCAAAAAAAAAAAAAAAATCCAGAAAATGTGTCTTTTTAAACCTGGAAACCACGAGCAATAGATGCTCAAAATATATACATAGCATTTCTTTTTTCTTTTTTTTTTTTTCAGATGACCAAGCCTGTTGTCATGTAAGGCTGTTCAAGTAATGAAGTTACAGTTTACTCACACACATCATTCCTACCACTGTGAGATGACTATTGGAATGATGCGGCCGGTCGGAGCTGGGTGGAACACCAGCTGGATTCTAAATGAGCCCCTAAATTGCGCCCCGTCCTCTGATCATTACAGCTGAAGCCCCTGTGTCTGGTCTCTTGTTGAAAGATGTAGACTTGTGAGGGTTTAAATTTGAATAAAAGCTTACCTTTGAACGGCAGGCAATTTATTCTGAGACCATTGTTGCTGTAACACTAGGGGACGGGGGAGAGAGAGTCTTTAAGACATACTGAATAAGGAGTGCCTTCCTAACTTTTACATTAGTATAATAAACTATAAATCCAGGAAAAAGAAAACTGATTTCATGACAGATTCTTTGTCACAGGGCAGGAAGGAGTCAGGGGTCCGTCTGTGTAGAAGATGAGGGGCTGACGGGAGGACAATGAGGCTGAGGGAAATGTTTGTACATTTCTGTGGTGGGACCCTGTGGTGGCGATGGGATGGGAGTCTCAGGTGAAGCTGCAGAGTGAGCAGAAAGCATGTTAGAACATTTAGTCATTTCGATATAGGTTTGTCTTCAGTATGCTTAATGCTTGTTTTTGGGCATTTTTTTTTTCTCACCTATTTGTGGAACTTGAGCAGCAGGCATGGTGCTGATGACAAGGGTGTGTCCAGTCACATGGTCCTGGGTCAACTGGGTGTGTGCCGCATGGTGGAGGTGGCTGGACTCTGTTGTTAGCCCTGCACATACAACACAAACGCAAAGAAACTGAAGAGGTGCAATTATCTAACGAAAATACATTAATAATTATTATAGGTTTGTTTAATGTGTAAGCAGCTTGTGAAAGCAGTTTGCTGAATAATCCCCTCTGGCACCCTCACTAATCAATTCAATGTTTCAGAAACAAACTTATTGTCAATATCAAAATTTGGAACCCTCTTTGTCTTTTCAGGAATAGAAAGAACTGCCATGCCTTGCAAAGTATTTATATCCGTTAAGATTTGTACCTTTTGGTTATGTTGCAACTCTAAATCTGAATTGTATTTCAATGATGTTACAGGCTGCCACAAAGCAGTGCATGTGGAAAATGTGAAGTGGGTTTAAAAAGAAAAATGGCTTTTTTTTTATTAACAAAAATCTAAGAAACGTGACGTTCATTTCAATGCGGCCCACCGTACTTTGAAACACTCTCAATGAAGTGTTATCCCTGGCTTTGAATATAAATGCAGCGTTTCTGTGAATGCTTGAAAGGAATGTTAGAGAATGTTAGTGAACAAAGTGTAACCATAACCTAGCAAGACGTGCCCAGTCACCTGAGCTGATGCTTCCTCATCTCACAATCCTTGCAATAAAAATCACTGGTGGCATTAGAGCAGTTTGCTGTGGTAATGTTTTTTTTTTTTGTTTTGTTTTGTTTTGTTTTTTATTTTTAAAGCAGGGATGTGATGCTGGTCAGTGGATGGAGATAAACATAAGAAGAAAAAACTGTGTGAGGAGCTGATACAAATATCACTTTACACATTACTTCATAATTATGGACCACATTGTTTTGATGTTTTATTTTGATGTGGGTTTTANTATTATTGTTATTATTATTATTATTATTATTATTATTATTATTATTATTATTATTATCTAATTCTAATATAGAGACTACATATTTGTAGTCTATACATCCATTGTATACTTATTTAATACATTTTTGAAGGTAAAATACACTATTAAAACCTTCATTTTTGGGTTTCTAAATATATTATGCCAACAATTTTAGAATGGGAGAAAGTTTGCTGTTGTTGTTACAGTTCTTGTTGGAAGTCATTCCACATTCTGACAAGAAAAATACAGCTCTTTCTGTACAGTCATCTAAGTCAAGTTTTCACATCCATGAGGCGTTTTTTTTTTTTTTTTTTTTCCATGAGTGGTGAAAGCCGTGGGGCATGTTTTCAGATGACTTTTTACATCAGACCCCATATTACGTTTGAACTATTTGACATAGCCCTCCTTATTATTTATACACATCTAGATGTGTGCACAAATGTCCCTCGCATCACATTGTGCGGCAAACTTGGTCTATTTCTGTTTTTGCCTATTATACATGAGAGCTATGCAAAGTTACACTGTTCTTCGGTACAGCTTTTTTTTTTTTTTTACTTTTTAGTTGCGTATATTTATATGTCCTAGAGAACTTTGCTGAGCAGGTATACTTTTCCCCATTTCCACAATCCCTCATGTTGCTCCCCCATATTCACCTCTCCAAGGTTACAGGAGTCGCTTTGCTGAAGGTCACCCTATTTGTTTACAGAATTACAAACGCAAACGTTAGCCCTGTCCTACCTCCCAGTAGCATCTCCTGCAGGAGGTTGTCTATCTTGGCCAGGCCGCATAGCTTAATGAACTGGAGCTGTTCAATCATTTGCCAGGTGATGCTCTGCAGGGTGGGAAGCAGCAGTAAGAGCTCTCCGAAACGACCCCTGGAGTCGTACTGACGGTCGTTTATGTAGTCTTCCAGACTCATCTGAACCTGTGAACACACACACATACGCACGCACACACACACACACACACACACACCACTGTGACGAAAACTCCAAATTTAAGTTTGAAATCCAGAGCAAATTTTTATCTGTGTAAAGTGACATGGCTAATGACAGTAAATGTCGGTTGCCCTTCTGATAAAAGTCAGAATACATCCTACATGATGAGATTAAAATTGCTAAAAAGAAAAAAATACATATGTATGTATAAAATGCAAGATAAAAAGCTACAGATTTACAGTAATTTCAAAGATTAAATAGTAGAATTACCTGAAGACGCATAGTCTTAATTTTCGTTGGGTCCCGCAACGACTTTGCATCTGGAGATTGGAAAGCAAAGCATTGAAGAGACAGGTAAATAGAGGTGGGGAGGACATGATTGAAGGACAGGAAATAAAAAAAAGACCAGGGATGAAATTGAGGATATGGGTGGAATTGATGGAATGATTATCATTAAACAGGTGCATGGAGGGAAAATGAGGGGATTTACAGAAGGAGGTAGAAAGGGTTAACGCATGATCAGGGTGGTGATAGTGCTCATGTGTAGAGAATGGAGAGATTGGAATCTAACTACGGGGGGAAACATACGACATGTATAACAATACATTTATGATTAAAGAAAACGTAAATCTTTTTTTTTTCATGTTTCTAACAACGTAGTTACCCCATCAATAAAATACATCAGTCATTTTTTTACTATTTGTTTTCTTTTTTTTTTTTTTTGTAATTGTACATTTTATTAAATTATACTGAATACACTACTTTGTCTTTCTGTTAAAATGTAATATTTAATTTTATGTCCAGTTGTTTGTGGGATTAAAAAATATATCAACGTCCAACATATGATTTTTTTTTTTTTCTGCAAAGAGAAAGTATGTAATATATAGTGACATCTATTGGCACAAGCAGTAGAAAAAAATCAAGTGTCCTCTCCAACATTTGGTTACATCATAAACACATACTTTCATGTATTTCATTGGGGTTTAAAGGAACGGAGGAACACAAATGTGCATAATTATGAAGCATAAGTACAATAATATATGGATTAATTAGTTTTTTTTTGCTAATTAAAATCTGAAAAGAGGGATTTGCATCTGTAAGAATTCACAATCCTTTCATTTAGAGGATTGGTTTAATTTGCATCCAGTGTACATTTATTTAATAACTAGAATAACTTATCCACTGCTTTTCTTGAAGGCCATGGAGATTTATCAGAGAATATTAGCATGTGAACTGTTCAATGAAGACTAAGGAATACCAGACAGGTTAGGAATAAAGTTGTGAAAAAAAATTGAAACCCCTGATTGGTTATAAAATAATCTCCCAAGGTTTCAACATCTGACACAGAACTACTTTCCAAAAAGGGAAAGAACAACTGAACTGAACTGAAATGTTGCTCAGTTTTTTATTAAAGGCTTTCAAATTAGTACAGACTTATCAAATACGTATTCCACCTTGGGGAAGTCCTATTTGAATAATTTTGTTGAATTAAAGAGTCTGTGAAGTCCAAGAAGTATGTATTTTTTTTTATTTATTTATTTTTAAGATGAATGGATTATCTATAGCCGTATTCAGCAAAAACTTAAGTATCTAAAATATATTTACCATGAAACTTACAAATCGGTTGCTATGAGACAGTGCACATAGCATTTAGTTATTACCTGGGTCAAAAAAGACAATTGCCTTGAGAGCTGCATACTCGTTGTCATCTATCTGAATATCTTGGAAAGGCTGGACTAGCTCATCTAATATCCTGCTGGCAACTCTGCAAATCTCAGGTTCAGGGCCGTTCCTGTGTATCACACAGCCGTTACCTGCAGAAACAATTGACAAAGTTAGTGGAGAAGAGTTGACTGGGGTAGAAAGGTATTTGAGCAGGTACGGGTTGGGCTCTAGTGTGTACATGAGCGGTTTGTTATTGCTTGAGAGGTCCTATTTAAATTGCTGCATCAAAGCTAAATGGTAATTTGTAAGGTCCAAGAAGTATGGCGATGCATAAGGTATGTGTGAGTGTTTGTATATGACAACTGTGTGTACAGTATCCGATTTTCTAAGTAATTAATGATACTTATTTTTTTTCTCTTACAAAGGACAACCTTGAGGTTACATTTCAAAAACAGAAAGCTTTAGTTAATCATTGCCAGGCCTCATACATATTACTGCTGAAACACATGGTCACAACCAAACCGTAAGAAAACTATATTGTCATTTCCTACCTAAAAGGAGAAAGTCCTTGAATGGCATTGACCTTTTGGCAACCCCAAGCAAGAGATGTTCACCTGCATGAGCCCTGAGTAAGCTCACCTGGAAACACACGCACGCACACACATCCACACACACGCACACATGCACAGACAAAATTAACCACATTATTAATAAGCAGAGCAGCAATTATTCTCTTTTCCTTAGTTGTATGGTGCTGTGCGTTGTCATAGGCTACAGAAATGGGTTAGAGATAACATACCACATACTCATTGTAAAAATGCTAATGCTCTGCAGCATTTTGCAAAGTAAATCCATTTATGTTTTTTTTTCATACAAGGAAAAGTGAAATAAGCTTAATAGAAAAATACCAGCATGTCTGATGAATGTTATGGCTTCTACTCTAGTTTTCACTTCAGTATTCAGTATGACATGAGATCACTGCATAGATATGACTTAGTGCAAGCTATATACAAATTAAGCTCATTTGTATGACTTGACTTGTTACCTGATCATCTAGTGGCAACTCGCCAAAGGAAGGAATATATTTGGCCCATTCCACCAAAACCAACAGCTGTTGCCTCATAGAATCACACACATCCCCTACAGTGGCTGATTTCACATCCGATACGTCTACCAGTCCTACAGGAGTGATGATCTGCAGGGAAAACCACACGTGATGATGTATTAATAAAAAAAATATAGGCTTCCATAGTTAATGAGAATATGAATGAAGATAAATAACTGTCAATATTGGAAGAAAACCTGTTTGAAACCACAAAAGGGTTGAGACTGGAGTAGAGTGAGTTGAACATAATAAATCCAGAGCAGCAGCAGATCATTCCGATTAAAGTCGAGAAGTGAATCCAATTTAGAATCTAAGCCCAGATTTGATGGCGGCTATAACTACAGCAAAGAATTACACTTTACTCGGGCTGTATACAAATTTACATCACATATTTCACGTTTCTTTGTGAAAACAGAACATAACAAATGTCTTCTTTTCCTATAGCACTCCAGAAGTATTTTATGTTTCTCAAATAAAATGTCAATAAAATGCACTGAAGTTTGTGGATGCAACATTACAGAATCAAAAAAATAAATAAAAAATGTTTCGCCAGTGCATTGCAGACCTTTATTCCAGGAATAATAAAATAAGCAGGACATTCTTACTTGTTGGGATAATGACTCTGCCTGAGCTAATATTGTAATGGGTGGAAGGTCTTGAGAATCTGGGATGACTCTTCGGGAACTGATCCGATCTCTCTCATTCTGTACAGCTAAAATATAAGAACCAAGGTTATTGCGTGCATGTGCATGAACAAGAAGTAAAGCAAAAAGGAAAACGAAAGGAAACAAAGGATAATAATACCAGGCAATTCAAGAGCAGTTTTTTTTTTACTTCTAAGCATGCAAAAGTTATTGTACTAATTTTAACATTTAGACTAACTAATTCATTAGCGTAAAAAGCAATAATAACTGTCACTGCAGTTAATATTTCGGAAAGTCACTGAAGATGCTGGGATCAGCAATAGGAAGTCAAACGTTAACCAGTTGCAGTACAGAACAACATGTTTCAGTATCACAGGATTAGGTGTCATAAAATTCTGCGCCAAGGTCATACCCCTCATAAATACACACACACACACCACACACAGAAAGTCTTCCCTTGTTTTATGGCTAAGCCAATTTTGATTATCTTCATGAAGCTTTGAGATTCCATGACAACAATTTTTTCCTGCAGTGGTTGTAGATATGACCTTGTTCTTTGAGCCAAATGTGGATATTTTCTCCGATAATACTGTATAATGTAAGTGAGGAGCTGCAAACATGCGAGTCACTTTTGTCGTCTTACCTTCTTTTTTCATGCCAGCTCTAAAGCATTTGTTGAGTCTGCAGAAACGACATTGGTTCCTCTTATCCTTGTCAACCACACACTGTCTGCTGAACCTGTAACATGACGAACGACAATGTGGCCTGACTCTGCAGAACAACATTTAATTCACTATAACATCCCGTGTTGTACTGAAAGGTGCCAGGTGAATATGTCTTCACCAAAAATATAAGTATTAATCCTTCAGGTTTTATCGTCGCATATTTTATTTGTTCAAACATGCCTTTATGATATGCCTTGGTCGTCTTTACCTGCAGGTGTACACATGGCTTTTGCGTATGGAGCGTCTAAAGAAGCCTTTGCAGCCATCGCAGCTAGAAGCCCCATAGTGTTTTCCTGTGGCTTTATCTCCACAGATTGCGCAGTTAGCATTCAGCCCATCTGGACCAGAGTGGCTTGGTTCTGCTGGCATACTGTCTGCAAAGCACAACATACAGGCATATTTTTTACTCATGCTTTACACACATCTGTAAATGGTACCATGGTACCATGTTAAATAAATTCTTTGCTGAAGTGCTAGACAAAATAGCAGAAGGCCAAGCAGTGTTTTTTTTTTAGCATTTATTTTGGTAGCTGTTGCTGTCACCATTCTTATTTCTTGCACATTAAACATTCCTTTAGTGCTTATTATATAGATCCAAGATGCTAAGTTATTTAAAGTGGGGAAACCTTGATGAGCATCAAGACACGTATCTTTAGAGTTCCATTCATATCTCACTCAGTTGTACTCCATGATCTCCCAACAATGCTTGAGTTAATGTTTGACTAACTCTCAGCTCAAAAACGAAGGTGACATCACAGAGGAGTGTTCCTACTCTTCAGCAAACCATGTTTATGACCCATGTCTTCAACTAACTTTATTTCACTAAACATCAGCGACAAAGAGCTCTACAGGCGAGACCGTCAGTTTCTGGGAAAATATGTTCTTATTTTATTTTTTTTTTTTTACCATCTGACAGAAAAGCACATAAAGAAACTTAGGCTGTGTTTGTTGGTTTTCACAGAGAAAGCAATGGGCGTTGCATTCTACTGTAAAATCCCCTCTTGTGTAGGTGTTGTCAGGTGACTCGCACAGGGCAACACTGTGCTGAGTATGCCCGACACCTTACGCCCAACTTAAAATAATGTAACTTGGGCGTATTTGATTAACTTGCGTGCAGTGCTGTGTGATGTCACATGTGTGCTCAAATCACATCAACCCTAATATGGATATGCACCTGCAAAGACTGACAAGTTTACGTGAGTCTGTTTTGTTCCATTTTTCTTTTTAGTGTTTGTGTGTGTGTGTGTGTGTGTGTGTGTGTGTGTTTGTCTTGCCGTGTAAGCAGTTTTTGTAGTTTGCAAAAACACGTTTTAAAAAATTTGAGCCAATTAGTGTGTAAATGAGCACATGACATGTAAAGTTAATAAAATTTTCCAACTGTCTAATGTCACAAATTTCCTAAGGCATGAGACATGTAACATAAAGTCAACAAAATATTTCAAGAAGTAAACTCAACAATAAGGCTGTGATAAAACATCAAAGCCTTTCATTTGAATAAAGCATGCACATTCAAAGCAATGGTTCTCCGCTTGAGTGTTTGCAGTAAATAATTATTTGTAATTTAATGGCCCAGTATTCTTTTTTTTGTTTGTAGGTTAAAAACAAAACCAAAAAAATCTCATATTGAAAAATAAAAACAAAAACACCAGTGTAAGGGAAGGACCATCCCTCAACCCTCCAGTATATAATCACATATACTCTTGTTTTGTTTAATTAGCAAAATAATAGATATAATAAAGAGGAACAAACAGAAAACAAGACAGACACAAACGGTTGAGATTTACTTGGTAAAAAATGGTGAAATAGCTTTTCACTCAGTGATCTACTTCAAATCGATTTATTGAATAGTTTAAATTTGCTCAACCCAACACAGTTTCTGCATTAAAGTGCGGCATGCACATTAGTAGGAATTAACTCTTAAATTAATTCACACATTGGCAAGTTTGATGAAGTTAATGAAAAACACTCCATTCCTTCTTTCCCAATACTTAACTCATTGACATCAGCTTATCTAGCTGCTCTGTTATTAAATGTCTTCCCGTACAATATTTCCTCATCCGGTTCTGAACATGATGACCTCTTATGCAGCAAACTTTTATCTATAATGCTCCATGACACTGTATCAGTGAGAAGTCATACCCCTCAGCAGTGTCATTACCTGTGAATAGAAATGAGTGTGTAGCTGTCACAGTGTTTCAAAACCAAGCTTGACATTCATGGGATTCTCGGTGTGTATGTGCCTCCGTATTTAAGTATCTGCATGAAAACTCACTTACCTCCTCCTGCATAGAGGACCTCTGCATTCTCAAACCCTAGTGTGCTGTATGATGGATCCAGGCCTTCGCAGTAGTTGGCCACCTCCATATCTAACAGAGATTTACTCTGAGGAGCTGGAGGATACTTCATTCCTGCTTCAAGCTGTGCTGAGCTGCCTTTTTCTCTTTTTTGTCTGCCTCCGTAGCTTCTCTCAGTTTGTCTTAGCTTCTGTTTTCCTATCACCGTTTCATCCAACTCCCACATATTCAACAGGGGAGATCCCTCACTTAACAGGTCAATAATGTGATTTGATTGGGCAGTGAACACGAGAAAAGGTGGAGCTAGAGCTGAGACTTCTCACCTTATTACACCTTACTTATCTGTTCTCCACTTACACACTTATCACAGAAATAAATGGACAGTTGTAAAGGAGAAATGTCCTTGTCTTTATGAATCAAAGTATGTATAATGTGAATACTGCCTGCTAATTATTTATTTGTGTGTCCATGCATATGTGTGTGTGGCCTTGTTTTTGATACAGTGTAAGGGACATTGTTCTTACAAATACTGCATTGTGGGGACCGACTGCACCTTAGGGGCCCCAAAGCCCAGTTCCCATAAGAAGAGGTTCTGTTTTGGGGCTCTGGGTTAGGCTTAGGACTATGGTCATGTCATAGTAATAGTAATAATTAGGTTTAGTGTAAGCACCAGGGCTCTGCAATAGAAAAGAATGAAAAATGAATGGAAGTCGATGTAAAGCCCCTTTGAAGATAGCAAGAGTTTCTATGTGTGTGTGTGTGTGTGTGTGTGTGTGTGTGTGTGTGTGTGTGTGTGTGTGTGTGTGTGTGTGTGTGTGTATATGCATGTGGAGATTTGTGTTTGTGTGTGTGAGTGTGTTATTCCAGGGATTTATAATCTAATCAATACTGGTGAAACAGCACTTATCACCTCAGTAGATATAGTCTATAAAAAGTGGAGAACACTGATAACTTCCCTATAATTCCAAGACAAAAACACACATCCACACACACCTGAGATTTACACTTATGTGTTTTCATTCATAGAATCTGGTAAGAAGAAGTTATTCCCTGCATTTACTTAAAACCCAACTTTACTTGTAGTTATGTCCTTTTGACTCGCACTCAAAGTGTAATCCGAGATGAGCAAAAAAAAAAAAAAAAAATCCCCAAAAACTTGAAAACAGGCTCCTGGCTGTTCCGTCACGGACGCAATTCCCACACACTTCACCAAACTTAGACAAGAACAAATTCAAAAGTGTAAATCATAAGTAGCATGCCCGTCCTCTCAGGTTCATCTTTTAGGGCAGAGGCATAATAAACACACTGAATAGCTCCCATGGCATAAACCAGTTCAATTGTCTCACCCACCCATTTTACATCAAGGGTTTCATTGCACTAAATCTTACTGTGTGTTTTAGAGGCAATCAGTTTAGGGCATTGTGACAAAGAAGATTGTAAAAGATAAGATGATGATATGGATGACTTGATGCTCTACATCTGTAATGAGTTGGTCAGTCAGAAAAAAAAAATAAAATGAAAGGAGTGTTTCAGCAAGGAAGAGGGTAATATAATGTCACAGTAAGGAACCACATCCGAATGCATATTATCACAAATTGCTTTGTAGCACATTTTAGTTACTTTTTATGCTAATAGAATTTCTTTTCCATTTTGTCACATTACAACCAGAAACTTTTATGAATTTTATGGTGACACACAGAATGACGCATATTCTCGAAGTGGAAATAAAGTGGCATGGCTTTTAAAAGTTTTGCAAACAAAACTCTGAACAGCATGGCGTGCAGAAGTGTTCATCACCCTTTTACAATTAAACACTTGATTGGCTAATCGGGTCCACAAATGTTTAACAGTATCAATACAGTTAATGTGTTAAGGCATTAGAGAACAAACATCATAATGAAAACCAAGGCAAACATAAGGAAAGTCTGGGGCAACGATGTGGAAAAAGTTCATGCCATTAAAACAATATCCTAAGCTTTAAAGATCTCATAGAAGGCAGATCTGTCCATTCAGGACCAGAGGCAGATCATGGCTACTTGCACAATCTAACTAAAAAAATAGCAAGATTCTTGAATTGTTACTAGAGAATGATAAGAAAGGTGGCCCATTTGCTACATTTTTTCTATGTGCCATTTAAGAGACACATGAAATGCATAGAGAAAGGTGCTCTGCTTAGATGAGAGTGTAACGGAAGTTCTTGGATTACATCACAATGCTGTGAGGATGATGTTCCTGAGCAGGATAGGGAAACTGGTAAGAGTTTATTGGAGACAGACACAGGGTAACACTGAAAAAGAAAAAAAAAAAAAATTGTATGGAGGATCCTCCCCACAGCAGGATGATCATAGAACCAGCGAAACAATGGGCCTATTCATCTCTAAGTATATTTACGTTAGATTTGTTCAGTCTAAAATCACACGTTATTTCCAAGTGAGAATCCGTGGCAAGACTTGAATATATATATATATATATATATATATATATATATATATATATATATATATATATATTCACAGATTAAATATATCCAATCTGACTGAGTATGAGCTATGTTGAAAATAACAACTAGAGAAATTTGTGCAAAGTTTGTATGGACATACCTCAAACGATTTGCAGGTATAATTGCAGCAACATATTGGGGGAATGTGTTACAAACCTCCACAGCACTATTCAGGTTTTTAACTTGTGAATCCTTAATTTTCTCACATCATAGTAATGAACTACTTTTGTGTCTTATGTCAAAATAAAATGTTGAGAGGTGTTAGCAGTAGCCCTGCAAAAACTATGCAGACAATTAAGTTGTATCTGTATTTTTATCGTGTACTACAGATTGGAGGGTGAAATAAAAGGGTTAAAAGATAGGGTGATTTGACAGGAGGTTGTAGGTAGGGAGTGTGAAGTGTAATGGATTATAATTTAACTAGATGGTACACCCAGGCCTCCTGACTCATCGAGTTTGCAAAGAGTGGCTTCAGATGGACTGGTTACGATTGTGTTTTAAATCTATCCTGTAAGAGCTGGGATCATCTAGGTTATTTCTATTTATTAAGTACTCAGACAGAACAGACTATTTAGTTATTTTCAAAAAGTCAATTTCAGAATTCATAAGTTTAAATAGACTTATTTAAACTTATGAAATCTAGGTTATTTCTATTTATTAAGTACTCAGACAGAACAGACTATTTAGTTATTTTCATAAAGTCAATTTCAGAATTTAAAGTTTAAATAGACTTGTACTACAATGCCTTTATTACAATTTGAAAGAGCCCAAATGATGATGTCATCATAGTGTTAGCTTCTAATTCACAATTGATTTGAATGGGTGCATACCTGTAAATATTTCTGCAAGGCTGCAGCTGAAACGCACTACTTCTCTGCATGACATCATGGAAAAAAAATCAAAGGAAATCAAAGGACACAAGAGAATTGTGAACATCAGCAAATCCCATCTGTCTTTGGGTCCAAACACACATGTCTGACGGTGTCATGTTTATCTGTTCAAATAATTACATATAAATAATACCTTAGGAGTCTCAACAGAGGTATTCTGTGTCGAAGTGATACACAGGATTTGGTGCAAAATGTGTCCAGATGCAGAATCGCTTTGGAGACGCGGTATGTGTGGTGGTAGACAGTTTAAAAAAAAAAATTCAAATCCATTTTGACGTTTAGCAAATAGAAAAATATATGTAATATTTCTCACTGAACTAATACAGGAGAAGTCTTGTCTGATTTAATATCAAACCGTGAATGTGACTTTTCTTGGCAACAGTATGTAAACATCTAATTTCAGCTGGTAAGACCTGCTGCAGGAGTCAGACTAAATGAGACACATTGCTTCTGCCCATCAACCAAAAGCTCTCAGCTGCCATAAAACCCCCTAGTTAGGAGGCAATGTCTGTGAGAAATTGCCATAATACCACAGCCTGTACTTAAACTAACAGCTTAAGACACACATAATGATCAGCCAGGCACTGTTGCAAAAAACCAAGACTTCCTGAAACAAAAGCCATAGTTGAAGGTTCTTCAGAAAAGTAATTGCCTCCAAATCTTAAGATGATTAACTATATCTTTGCTTCACTCTTACCTTTGAATTCAAAACTAATTCTAAACTACATGGATTATCTATGTAATTGTGAATGCCCTAGTAAAGATGAACAGTTCACAGCAATTAATGTCCATATTTGAAAAAGCCAGACTGTTAAGAGGGTCCAACATCGAATCTCATACTATAACCTCGAGGGTTAATAAACAACAATCCAGTCGTCTTTGTAATTTATTTAAAACAATACAAAGTGGACATGTGATTAGAAGTATTGTTATCTACAGGTAGAAAAGGTAAATTACAGGAGCAATAGAAATAACATTGTTTCTCTGGTAATTAACGCACATTTGGTTTTGATTGTGCTGAAATCCCTGATAAATGCGAGAAGGTAAAACGAGAGCAAAGAGAGAAATATCTTGTTCCTGTTTATGTCCTTGACTTGTTCGGGTAAAACGAGTTATCACATGATCTTTACAGCACAGCTTTCGTGACGAAGTGAGTCTCTCTTATCTCCTTTCGCGTGTTTGCGTTACATGAGATACTTTAAAGCGGCGCTTCTACTTTGTTCGAACGAACCATCTCAAACCATTTCTTTTTTTTTTTTTCAAATTAGAAAACCACATGATTTGAGGAACATACTGCAACCAAAACTGAGAGATTCCGGTAACGTTTGGCGTAAAAGACTTAACAGTTTATGTATTTACTAAATGTAAATGTTTCCAATTTTTTTAAAAAACAAAACAAATACAAAACAGAAAAAAATGTTTGACTTACCTGCGTTACTGTTTCTGTCTAGAATGTGCATTTATCCAGTAGTATTGCTGTACTCTGACAGGGAGCAGCCGTCCGTCAGTCAGCCATCGGGCTTATGGAGCACTGAGTTTTAAAATAGTTTAAAGTGTTGAAAAACATTAAAAGGGAAGGCTGGAGAGCTGAGCTGCCAATAATTCATGGAGCGACACATTGGATGGCGCCATCATAGCCCTGTCATAAGATCGATTTACTAAACAAACTCAAGCTAGGGTGGAGATGTTAAACAGTAACCCAGGTCCATAAAAACTAGAGAAGAGAAACATCACTAGGTGAATGTGAGTGTGTTGATGTGTGGGTGACATATAATTCAAGAAACTTTAGATTATGTTTAGCAAACTGTTGGAAAGACATATATTTTTTTGATCAAACTTTAAATTTTGTATTGTGATAATATTGTGAGTAAGGATCTGTTGTGTATGTCTTCATCAGCTTCAGTGGTCTCGGATCCTGTCATGGTCCCAGACAGGACAATGTGTAGTACAGATAAAGTCCAGCAGATGGCAGAGGTTTATTTATCTTGTAGTCGAGTTCAAAGTGGTTTTCAGATTGCATTTATTACTCGGCATCATATAAATTTCTGCTATTCATAAATACAATATCAGAACTGGACCTGAGTTCATAATCTCTGGCAAAAACATTTTTTATTAATTCAACAACCAAGCATTTCTGCAATAATAATAATAATAATAATAATAATAATAATAATAATAATCAGTTGAAATAATATTGGTTAGATAATGAAGCAGGCAAAAGGATCACAATTTGATATCAAATAAAGATCAACAAGAAATAGAAAATAGAAATGCATGTCGACGTTTTACATCAGTTTGTCTCCTGTATGCACATTCACAGTTTTTGTGTTCACACAGTCCTTCTTCTAAAGCACATGTGGAATGTTCTCCTCCCCAGGAAGGTGAGCATGTCCAAACAGTTGAAAGTGGTCAGGCTCAGTAAGACTTCGTTGATAGGTTCAAGCTCAGGTTGCCTGATGTAATACAGCCGAAAACTATGGTAGGGAACGAAGCAGATTAGCATGATCAGTGTGAAGCAGAGGCTCTTCAGTTGAGCCCCGAAGTCTTGCTGAGACCTGCATCCCTGGCGATCCCTTTTGTACAGAGTCCACAGGACGTTGGCCTGAAGGGCTGTCAACACAACAGCAACCACTATCACCAGTGTGCTTAATATGTAGTTCAGCTCTTTGGCAGATGTCATGCTTTCTGCAAAATGAAAGCAATGAGTGGAATTTTTATCTTGATCTGACTTGCCATAAAAAGAAAAAATGATGCAAGGGATTAAGATGAGCACAATGACCCACATCACTACACTGCCGATGAGTGCTTGCATCCTGCCTAAGGGCTCCACCTGCCTGGTCCTACAGTAGTGTGGCCACAAGCGAGTGACGAGGATGATCATGTAGAGCAAAAACGACATGTACATGTGAATGTGGATCATAGCGCTCACCATTTTACACCACTCGGGACCCAAATTCCACTTGTTGGTTACATAATAGTAAATTCTGAAGGGCACCGTCAGAAGGAAGACGAAGTGGGCGAAAATGAGGTTAAACACGGTAATAGAGGTGGCAGAAGCAGCACTGGACTTCAAGATGTGCATCATCAGGCTCAGGCTGACCGTACCGCACAGCAGAACCACAGAGTAGATGACCGTGAGGGTAATGTGGAAATCTGGGGATGGAGCAGCGGTTGGTGTAACGTTCTGAGTCGTCATGGAGGTAGACGGATGCTGCGGGGTCACGCTGGAATTCATCCTAAAGAGAGAAGGTTTCAGACAAAATTCATTGTTGGAGACAAAAAGGAAGTTGGTGTAACAGTTAAATGGGTAGTGCTATAATGACAGGGAAGAAAATGTGAGAGTCATTGTTGGCTTTTTATAACCTAAAAATCTTGGTAAAATAAAATACAGGCGTGGTACTATAGGAACTTATTCAGCTATGTATTCCGTCTTGTGTAAAATGTGAAAATGTAATTTGTTACAAAAGCTACCTATAACCTTTACATGTGCTATACCGTCCAGACTAATTTACCTTTTTATTCTCAGTCTGATGCATTCTGTTTTGTCGAGTTGGCCTTTCTGCAGTCTATTTAGGTTTTGTATTTTTTCACAAGCACATTCACTTCTGTTCATGAAACCATGACACTGACGCATTTCATCATCATTTCAAAAGTAAAGACATTTTTACTTTTGAAGGTTCTCTTATCACCATCCTCTTGCAGTTTGTTTGAAAAAAAAAATATGACCAATTTACATTAAGGTTTTTGAAACAAAAATACTAAAATGTACAACTATACATGAGTTAAAATTCTTAATAGAAATATTCAAAGCTCAGGACTCAGTTCTGTTGTAAGACTGTCAGTGACTTACAGGAAGGGTCGGTATCATTTGAATGAACACATCTTATAAAATAAATTTAGAGCTAATTTAGAGAACTTAGTGCCTTACTATTGCTTGGTCAGGCAGCTTGGTTAGCAGCAATAAATTTCCCCCTAAACACCAGATTAGCACTACTTACAACAAAATATTGATTTTCTTCTGAAGAATATTTTGACAATGTGTATTGCTTGTATATTAATAAAGAGAACAAAGCAATAACCTCATGCTGAGCATAAGAAGAGATGTAACCTATAAGCTTCCCATGTAGACTTACCTTGTAGTCAAAGATTTGGCTCCTGCCTGATTTTAGGAGTCCCAGCAAAACGTTAGAAACTCTGTCTATCCTTCATCCCACTGGAGTGACAACTCCAACTTTCGACAAAGTCATTAAGCATCCAAACGCTTTCACAAATATGCAATTTGCTGTATCTAAAGTTAGTGTAGGTTATTGAAATGAGCTACGTGTGTCGGTGTCGAGAGCCCTTTTGCATACTGCCTGTCTGTACTTTGTTTGAAACAGGAGGTGACTTCATGTCAGCATAACCACAGAAATGGTAGCTTCCTTCTTTTGGCCACCCTCGGTTTCCACTCTGTTTTTTGGGGGCTTTTTTTTCTTGCTGCTGTTGCTATTCTTTAACTCCAAGAAATACAACATTTACATAATTAATTATACCTCACATACAGCAAATTACTTTTATTAATGTCAAAAAATGTCCTTTACATTTGTCCAACTTAATTTGTGCAAGCTTATAGTTTATTTTACCTCATAGCATTTATGGTATACATAAATCTAATGAATTCTTATTTGTATAAAAATCTGAGAGCATCTGAAATTTCTTAACTGTGTGGTAGCAGGCTGTTGCATTATATCGCCATAGCATATGCTGATAAACATGTAAAGAGAAGTTACTCAGGATATCATGGTACGAGTAGCGATGTTGACATATATCTTTAAATATTGCAGTCAGTTGCAAGCATTGCAAATGTTTTAGGTGTTGTTGATGCTAACCGATTTATGTTTTCGCATCCACCTGAATAATGTGTAGTTGCGCCACTGATCATCCATCCATAATTTAGTCTATGGGTTTCTGTGAGGGACTTTCTGAACTGTCTGAGGAAGCTGCAGTACCCGTGGCAACTGCGCAAGCCACAGTTACACTTTGTTGCTTCAACGTCAGTATGCAAAGCTGCATGTGGGTTTAGTTTGTTGACCCTGTAATAAAATACACATCTGGTCTTGTGATTTATTTTACTATGCAAAAAATTTCTGTCAAAATGGAAGACATACATGTCTTGTTCCTTAATTTCAAACCCTTAGTTAGAGGTTTCACTTGCATGATGATCATTAGCCCACTAAAAGGACAACTTTCAGTTCAGCTTCAGCTTTTTTTCCCAGATTCATGTATTTATCAGGCTCATTTTATAAATTGATTTCTTATTTGAACCCATAAAAGAATGTCCAAAGCAATTGAGTGTTTACTTCTAGTTGATGTTATTTGATCAGTGTCAAACTGGAAACTTGATACCATCCGTTTCTTTGAAGAAACTGATGGTCATAGTTCTTGAAATAAAGAATTATGAAGCTCTTTATTTTACATGAAGAAATGTGACCATCAGTTTTCAAGAAAAACAAAACAAAAACAATGGTCATAGTTCTTCATAGAACTATGAAGTTCTTTGGTAGTCTCTGGTCAGTGTACTTCTTCTAAATTTGCTTATAACGTTTCTTAAGGTTGTCAAAAAAAATCAGTCTCTTGAATTTTAAGTCTGCTACAGCAATACTTTTTGTTCGAATGCTGTTGAGTGTGTGCAATAGCCCCATGTGGAGAGATGAGTAACACTGAATTGACCCAATTTCAATGTTGTGTAAATATGCTCTCACACCAACTGCTGAGACCAGTTTATTCATAATTTAAATAGGAAAACCAATCAATATCCTGTAAACTCTCCGATGGGGTTGTTTGTATTTTTCAGTGTTTTGAAGTTCTTGTTTGGTTTTGTTCAATCAAAAAACTTATGTTGGAATGTAAGTCTTTCAAGTTTACAACACCATTTTTCCCTTTACTGAAAGCTCTAAATAAAAGTGTGATCAATTACATCCAGAAGTCACCAATTAGCAGCGTCTGCCTGTGTATTATTCAGTCCCAGTTTAAATCCAGCTGTGTGTTCAGCTGTGTGCTTAGACTAGGCTTTAAATGTTTATTAGATAACATTAACAAGCAAAAAGCATCAGACCGAGGAACAACGTAAGTGATAAAGTTGTGACCTTTTTTTTATAGCATTGTTATAAAAAAATGTCATGAGTTTTGGGCATTTGAGCTCTGTTCAATAAATCACTTCAAAATGGAAAGATTGTAGCACAACTGCAAAGCCACAACAGGTTTGGTGTGAATAAAACAATAAGTACTGAAGGCAATTATTAACAAAGTAAGCAATTTAGATCAAAACATTTAACTAAACTAAACTTCTAAGCACAGATTTAAAAAAAAGAAGAAAACTAGTGATCTAAGGAAAAAGTAGTAAAAAGGAACCAGGAATAAAATTGTAACACCAACAACCGATAAACAAATGGAGGGCTATCACAGATCAGTGTGAATATGTACTTTTAAGAGCCAAGGTTTGGTTTGAGGAATTAGAATGAGGCCAAATTATCTCTAAAAGTTGACAAATAATAATAATAATAATATTAATAAAAATACAGGAGCTGCCAGGAGTTCAAACAACCATTTTGTAATCCGAGCAGAAGATAAACATGTTAAAAAACAACAACAAAAACCTACAATGTTTGTGTGTGAAACACAGACATGGATTGACAACTTGGTAAACAAACCACAGGCATCTAGGGTTAGCAGCTCATCAAACAACAAAGGAAATAGTGGCTGTGATGCTATTTAGCCATTCTTGTGAGTCCCACATGTACTGGTAAGTACCAGCACTTACCACTACTTGTGTATGCACCTTACGGTTAATTTTTGCAAGAAGAGAACAAGCTATGATTCAAACACTGCAGAACTAATGGTGGCTAACTTCTTAGCATTAGGAGAGCTTTAGCTTTGGCAGCCGGGAAAATTACATAATATATTTAGAAGGACTCCACAGAAATATTTTATACAAATACAAATCTCTTACTAGGCATTTATAGCAAGAGAGAAAGTGAAAACACCAATAGCCTCAGCTCTGCCTTGCTTTTGGCTTGCATTAGATGCAAACAAAAACACAAAGAAATGAACAATATTTAAATAGTTTCATCCTGAACTAATTTTCAGGTCACAGTGGTAGGAGGTCCAGAAAGAAAATAGACATGCCTCATTGTCAATGCCAGGCAAGATGAATATATAGCTCCAACTGTAGTAACCAAGATTGTATTTAACCCTTTCACGCATAGTGGTCACTACAGTGCACAGCTATCTAAAGGCCACTTTCTTGTGTTTCTTGTGGATTTTTATGTTATAAATGCACACAGTCCACTGAAGTAGACACTAGTGCATCAGGCAAAACACTGCCAACTACTGTCCATCTATTGCAAGTGGAAGAATGTTTTTGTTAAATCCAATATGGCTGACAGACGGAAGCATATCAGACTAACTCGGAAATATCCAGTCCCCCCTCCTACGGTGGAAAACTCTTGCAGGTAAAAAAAAAAAAAGACATCAAGAAACCCCTAAAGACTAATACTACTGATGTATTTTCTAAATAACAACTTTGTATTTGGAGAAAATTACTACTGATCACCTGTCCACTGAAGTGGACGGCATGCACCAGTGACAATATTTTGACAAGTATTGATATCAATACTCTGACTATATCTACAATATGCAACATTTCCAGCAAATATTTTGACAGTAAATAAACTTACATATTTTAGTTCTTAACTTGATGTCCATTGTTGCCATTAAGAAGTAAAGTTTTCATACGTTACAGGCCAATGGGAGCAGTAGCTGCAGTGGAGATGAGGATGATGAAGAACCTTTGATCACTGAGGTAAATCAAGATGTTGAGGGACATGAAATAACTGGAACCTACAGATTACAAACCTGTATGCAGTCCAAAAAAGAAATCAAATTCTGGCCTTAACAGATCAGGAAGTGAAGACATTTCCAGTAATAAATATGGAATCATGTCATACCTCAGATACCCGAGGTCAAGAATGTATTGATCATCAGAGCCAGGTCTTCATCTTGACATCATACTTAGTGTTTTTCACTTCTTGGAGAAGGTGAATCTGTTACATTTCAAGGAATCTGTAGCTTGTGTGCTAATAAATGAGGGTTCCATCCAGACACGCTCAAGAGTACCAGTGCCATCCCATCTAGGGCAGTGGTGTCCTCTGCCTTGAGGTCCAAGATCCTGCATGTTCTAGTTCTCTGCCTGGTGGTAGCAACTTCCTCCTCAGCATTTCCCCTTAGGTCTTCTAATGAGCCACCATTTGATCCAGGTGTGTTGAAGTAGAGAGAGAACTGCATGTGCAGGATGCCGGTCCTGCAGGATCGACTTTGGACACCATTGGTCTAAGACAAACCCATGAGATCAGGCTGAGGTCTGGAGAACACTGGCCCTACCTCACTGCAGCCAAAAATATCAACATGCAAATGATCCAACCTGCAGACAAAACTAAATACATCTGCATCCGATGTGTTGTTTGCAACCTGGGTGCTATGCACATCTTCATACAAGATAGCCTTGATTTTTAGAAGTCTAAAACTGAAGAGACAGAAAACAACAGAATGGCTGAAGTGTCATATTCAATGTTGTTAGTTTTATAAAATTAAAAATCTCCATAATAAAATCATACTACTTGAGAAGGAGCCAAAATAAGACTAAAATGAGACCAAGCGGTTGAATGAGAGGGACTGAATTAAGGGATCTATAATAGTGAACATTAGAGCAGGATAAGAGTTGAAGAGAATGTTATATATTTATGCATTCTGTTAAATAATGTCAAAATATATTCACAATATACAGCTTTCATTAGTTGAATAGACATAAGCGCATGTTGTCCACCTAAGTGGACACTTGGACAAATCCTAAAAAATATATATATATTTTTACAAAAAAAAAAAAGGTCCCTTATTTTTATGCCCTAAGAAAATCAAAAACACTTTTTAAAAAAATCCTGACTTACAGGAACATAATTCATGCATGATGGGGTTAAATTCAAGAGAATACTCAGACCAAATATGGACCTTTCTAAGTAAATAAGAGACAAGTTTAAGAGGGATTCATCAAGTATGGCTGAAAAGGAAAGGTTGGATCAACATAAAGAAATATCAGAAAACAGTAGAATAATTATCAAAAGACAGTTTCTCTACCTGTATACTTACATTGCTCTCTGTTTTCAGCTTGACCATCAAAGGTAAAATATTCCTCTTTTGGGCACAGTTTAGCAGCTTAGGCTTAGGTCTTGTTGCATTGAACTAAGCGAAGGTGGGTTAATACAACACTCGCACTAACCTGTAAATTCCTCAATCGCATATTAACTGAGTGCTTGCTTGGGAATTCAAGCTACAGTAAAGAGCCACATGAGGAAGTTCTTCTTGTTGGACTAGAACATTGACCAGATAAACCACATTTTATGATCAAAAAGTTACTCAGTACTCTGGTAGACCTTATTTTTCTCTTTTTTTAAACTCTTATATTTTTAGACGACTCCTTCTTACTACTTGAGTAGAAAATTACTGAATTAGTACTGTTCTTCCTTGAGTACAATTTTATGTATTTTTTAACTGATTATATCTTGTTGATCTACCACAAAAGTAGCAGCTTAGGCTTAGGTATGATCTGTAGTGATAAAAAAAAAAAAAAACTAAAAATACCGTCCCTGTGGTAAATTATGGTTTCGATCATAAACTGTCTGCACGTTCAGCGCCTTGTTCTTTCTTGCTGCTAATTTGCTCAGTTTATAATGCAAGCTGTTTATGCCTTTGTCTGTAAATAAGTGGAATTTAAAAATTTCTCCTGCAGAATTAAGTTTGATCAGCAGTTTTTTTTTTTTTTTTTAAATTAAGATAAATTTCTACTGTTAATGGGGGGGGTATTATGTATTTTTCAGGCACATGGTGCCATTTTATAACACAAGTAAGGTACTATGTTACCTTCACTTGACATTAAAATGCTGTATATATCTGATGACTATGAGGCATCAAGGCATACCCTGAGCAAACATTAAGACACTCTTGAAAGGCAACAACCGTTAAAGCAACAATTGTTAAAGATTGTTGCTTTAACGATTGTTGCGTTAAAAGCAACAATCCAGGTATGTGTGTGATTCCCTCACACGAAATGACATAATAACATGATATAAAACTCAAAAAGGTCTATTTTGGATAACATACTCCAAACATATTAGTAAAGGCTACGGGTCTGATGCAACATGTTTCTATTACTGTCAAATTGTATCTTGTATAAATCAGCTAGTAAACAGACAAATCAGTTCCTGGTTCCTTTTTTTTTTATTAGTGAATATGCAACAACAGGTAAAAACATCCTTTCCCTTTATTAAATTCCATGTACCCTTTACACAAGCTTGTGTTAAACTTTAAAATCACAAATCCAGAGTTTGTTTAAAAAAATGATTAATTTATAGTTAAATATTCAAAACACACGTCCAATTATTTTTTTATTTAATTTACAATTACACCTGAAAAAAAAAATAACTGGGTGTTTAGAGGGTGGTGTAAAAACAGGGCTTGGCAAAATTGATTCTTGAGCTCTTTGAAGGTACTTTCCACATTAATGCATTTATATAAAAACTATACTAAGTATATCTAGACAGAATAAATACAAAACATTTGGCATACACAACCTACAACTTTTGAGGCAAAATAAATTTGTATCTAAGGAAAGTGCATCTTCGATCTATTCCACAGGATGAGTCTTTTTGAGGTGAGAACGTGTGTGACCACACTTAGCAGCATCAGGAAGATCGTCATCGACATCACTATCACGTAGTGACTAATGCTGTAGCACACAAAAAAAAATATACGTTTTTTTTTTTTTTTTTAGGTAAATCTGTGTATTGCAGGTGACAGAACAGCAGCAAAACAAAAAGAAGTGGAACAATCTGTGAAAATATGTAATGAGTAGCTGGTGTTTTATCAACACCAACTGTGTTCTTGTGGACTTACCTTGTGCCAATATCCAACCAGCTTCCATAGTCTTGCACCAGGAAGAAGAAATGCTGAGGACAAGGAAGTTAAACAGTTACCATGTAATGTTCACATAAATTCTACATTAATCAGAAAAGGTATTGAGCCAATAAGGCTTTTTAGGGTGTGAATTAAATTGCCCAGTAGTCTGATATTATCTCAAGTAATTTACCAGTGCCATGACATCAGAAATGACCAGGACAATGAGGAATAAACTGGAAAGGAAGAGGACATAAAAATAAAAAAAAATCAAATGGAAAGAAAACATGAACAAAACAACCAAAATGTGCAACAATATCCGTGTACTGCAGAAACAGCATAGATGCAATTTGTATTTTATATTTCTTAACAGAATAAAAATGTGTTCGTGTTGATAAATTGAACTTGAACAAAATGTCAGATACAAATGTCAGACCAAAATTACCTTCTTGATGAGAGCTGTGTTGCAACCTGGATGGTCTCAAAGGTACACATTACTATGATAAATGGAATAATAACCTGAGAGGGAACAAAAAAATACAATTTTAAAGAAACTTAAAGACAATCAACATGAAATCAGCAATTGTAATTGGCGCACACATTCACACGCTGGTGATGGGAAGCTATTGGATTGTAGCCTGGGTGGGGGCAGTCTGACAGAAGAGAGGCTGCTATATCGCATCATCTGCCCTTCTAATTAATACCAGCAGGCGAGGTGGTTGAAGCTTCTTGCTCGACTACATGGAGAAGGAATTGAATTCCAGAGCAAACTCCTACCACCGTTGCAGCGAACATTTAACAGAGAACAGTTCAATCCATAATCTGACAATGGAAGTGCATGACACCTGCGGACCAACCCAGGCATGTCTGTCTGCTTAAACTGACAACAAGCCAGCCTTAATTAAATCAGGCAGCCATGCGGCCCACGATAAACTCATGGAGTTAGTGCAGATCAAAGAAATAATCCTTGATTTGAAAATCGGTGTCCTCAAATACTCTCCAATCAATCTGACTGAGGCTGAGCTCCGTCTGAATGAAAACGGGGTGGAAAAAAATGTAGCCTTCAAATATGTAAAGCTATAAGAAACGTGCTCCAAAAGATTTGCAGTTGTAATTGCAATGAAGGGAAAAGAATACTAGGAAGCATCGACTCAGTGGGGCTGAGGCAAATGCAAGTGCATATCACTCCTTTCAGATTGTTATGTAAAAAAAAAAACACACACACACAAAAAAAACATTCAATCTTTTTCTCTCTGCTTCACAATTTCATGTTTGTCTATAAGTTGAGTGAGTTCCTCTTCACATTTTAATGGGGAAATGTAAAGAGAAATGAATAATACTGTGAAGTTCTTCACACGACATGACATAACAAACACCTAGAGTGGCCTACCTTCCACATCATGAGCCCCCCCATGATAAACGGGTTGAAAACAGTGAGGAAACAGTAGATGGAGGCTGGGTCAAAACTAGACAACAGCAAAAAGAGGAAGCATCAGTAACTACAGAGAAAACTAGAGTTAAAGTAAATCGGAAACATAAAAAAAAGAACCATTTTTGAGAAGAACAGCAGACCATTAACATGTTGCTTTTAAACTTCACATTTCTGTAATTCTGTTGGTGGCAAAGAAAATGTCGTGGTTCAAAACCTTCAGAGCCTAGTTTCACTAAACAAACTAAAGCACATCATAAACGGAAATACATTTTCACAGTTCACTTCTCTGCTTCCTCTATTTAAATGATCAGAAGGCATCTTTAATAAAGCAAACACTGATGAGACCAAGCACACAAGATGGGTTCACATCGTGTCATTTGTAACAAAAAACAAGCACAAGAAAAAAGGACGTTCAAAAACAAACATTATCCTACCTGTTAATGGACGCTATGTTCCCTGTGCCAAAGAAAGCTGTTATTATAAAAAATACCTGAAGAAAATAATAGGGAAAAAACTGAAGTAATGTGAATGTAACATATTATTTAACTATTTTAAGGGTGCTGCTAAAATTCTATAAAGGTTATCTAAGCTCATAAGGACTACCTTTAACAACCCTCTGAGAATAAAGCACCTCAATTTACTAGCTCAGTTAGTTCTTGTGGTTTAATTGCAAACAATTACAGCACACCAAGGATACAAAAAAATATGATCTTCTGATGTCGTCCAGCTTCAGCTGTCGGATTTTGGTAATGTCAATGTTGGCTGAGAAATCAATTGTAGACAGCTGAAAACAAAGGAACACAATTAGAAACCACTTTTGGGCGTTTTTAAGGAGCAATTTGCATTTGGCGCATGATCGACTGAGTAAAAACCTGATAAAATATCTCCCACCAGAAAGGTCACTTGCCTGACTTCAAACTATATTCACCATGTTCTCACAACATGCGATACATCGCATTAATTCTGTTTCCAACTTCACATGTGAACAAACGGTCTACCGCAGAAGAAATGTGGGTGAAAAGCTTGTGGCAACATTAGACAAAAATTTGGATGGGGTCAAAAGTCAGAGAGAAGAAGAGGAAGAGGAGTGCTATTGATCCCCCACAATTACAATTTACGATATTTTGTCATCAAAACTTTAGCCATTGTTTACAGAACATTCCTCTGGAGTACATTGCTATATTGACAAGACTAATCAAAACTGTTTTATCCAAAAACAATGAGACAAGGACGTGTCATTCTGAGGCACTGATATGTTCACTGACACAGATATGTAATTTTAAGAGATGAACTACAGGTTTTGAGAAACAAACTGGCTTCTGTAGGTGATCCACACCATTTTGGCCCATTTCTCCAGACAGTGTAACAGAGTCTGTTTTTTTTTTTTGTTTTGTTTTGGTTTTTTGTGCTTCCTTGCAGAACTTTTCAGCTCAACAGGCACATTTTCCATGACTGAGATCACGTCTTTGCAGGGGCCATTCGACTTTGTTGTATTTAGACCACTTTGTGACTTATCTGGTTGCATGGTTAGGGTCATGGTTCATTTGGAAGACTTGTTTGACCGACTCTAGCCAAACACTTCAGTTACAGTTTTATCACACAAAATAACAATATTTGTCACTGTATTCAATTTCGCTTTTTTTTTTTTTATTATTGCTTTTGGAGAAATGATTATTTCCTAGCTGAATGGTCTTTCAGGCTATGTTGTTGCAGAATTTGTTTTGCAGTGAGTAATGACTTCAGCCTGCATCTTCACAAGGACTTTTGCATTTGTTCTGGTATTAATACCAACATTTCACACCAACTTATACTTATAACATGCAAAAAAGAAATTCTCTAGAAGGTTTGAGGTTTTTCCACAAACACAAAGCCACAACCTTACTATTTGTTCTTTCACCAACTATTTAAAGGCATAACAGTCAAAAATATTATGACAGACATGATTCTGTGATCTCTCTCTGACTAAAGTAGGAAAACTTTGGTCTGATTCTTTGTGCAAGAGTGAGTAAAAAACAATTAAATGTTATATTCTTTTATATTTTAAGTCTACTAGCGAAAGCAAAAGATACATAGTAGTTAATATGGACACAATTTTTTTTTTTTTTTTTTTTAAACCAGACCTCCTGCCACATCCCCAAATTTTTCTCATTATAACTTGCATTCTAATGCTACCTCCTGTCTTCTGGAGTCCCCCTGAGCGAGTAAGGCCTCCTGTTCAATGTTGATCCACACAAACATCAACCAAGACAAAACCGGAGGGAACAAGGCCTCTGACCTAAGTAGGATGGAACAGAAAGAATGTTTGCATTCGGCAGATTTTCTGAAGCTGTAAAGCTACAAAATACCAACTCAATTTAAAAAAAGATCTCGCCATACCCAGTACTGAGAAGCAAGTAAGTGGATGTGAGAGACAAAAATATGCTGAGGAGTCGGTGAAAGAGACGCGTTGAGCTCAAAAGAGGAACAAAAATAGAAGATGCTGAGAAAAGACAGACAGCACACATAGCTTCACTGTTGCATCAGATCACTGTTTCAAATCAGAACGTGCGTTTTAAATAATAACTTCCAGTGGATTTTCCTGGGACATTGAGAAAAGTCTTTCGTCCACCAACCTAATGTGCTCCAGCTGATGATCTGATTTAGAAGGGGCAGGCCTTGTTTCTGCTGCAGGCTGGAATGTGTGAGCGATGGGACATACAAACACACGGCCACATGGATCATCTGTTGGGGTTGACAAGTAATACGTCTTTTAGCAATTGTTGAGAAGACAAAGAAAATAACACCCGGACCTGGAAAAGCAAACAATTACCTGACTGAAAAATTGCCGTCTGTCGCTTGTGCGCAGCGGTGTCCTCCGCTGTGATGACCAGAGATAACAGGCCGAAGTGAAGAGAGTAAGCAGGCCTGCACAGGCACTGAGGGAAACAGAAACTAAACTTTAACTTTCTTTTGTTTGTTTTTGAAAATCAAAGGTGTTATGGAAGAGAGTCAAGACATCCTGCTAAAACTCTGTGCAGAGTGCCTCAAAAATATCTGCATTAATAATAATAATCTCTTAAAATCCTTAAAATGGGGAATTCACCTGAAATTGAACACATGTTGAGTTTTTTTTTTTTTTTTTTTTTTTCTGTGTTTCAGAAGATATATTGGAATATTTGAATTTAATGCTAACAAAAGCTAATAAGATAAAAAAAAAAAGTTCTACAAATGAGAAAGCATGTTTATGGAGGAAAAAACTTCAAACGTCTGACCTACAGAAGAAATACATCCTTGCAACCATTTCTAGCAACTTCCACCCACAACTTCTACTTAAAATGATGATGCATTTTTCATACCTGGGAAGAGGGAAGTTAATGCATTTTCACTTGCTTTTTGCCCAGTTTTAAAGAAGTTATGCTTACACAACTTCACTAGAAAATACAGTACTGATCTAAAGCCACCTTATCTTATGTCTTCAAATCCAAAACAAAAACAATCCTACTTTTTTTTTTTTTTTTTTAATTGTGACCTGCCAGAAGCGCTGTAAATGTTTCACTTAAGAAGTTGAAAAAAACTAGAGCAATGAAAAACCAAATGTCTAAATGTGACAGCATTTCATTTCTGAGTATGAAGATAATAGGATGCAGTGGCAAATGTTCTGATAAACCCAAGCAAAATAAAGGAAGTACTCACACCAGACGCAGGTTAGGCTCTCTGCCCACAACGGGCATCAGGGGGAAAACAGCCAAGCACAGGCAGCCAAGAAACCAGCTCAGTGAGCGAAGCTACACAGGAAAACAGTCAAAAAGAACCACAAACAGTGGTGAGTGGGGGATTAAGCACACAGTGAAATTTTGTTTAACGAACTTGCGAAAAAAAAAAAAAAAATTGCAACAAAAATTAGTACGCACAATTTGGACTTTAGAAAACTGAAACGTCAGATTTCTGTATTTCTACAAGAACTGAGGTATTAATAGTTTTCAAGGTCAGAGTGACTAAAAATATGAAGTGTTTTTTTTTAAAAAGGTTAGCATGTTCTTTTTTGAGACGTTTCAGGTTTTTTTTTTTTTCTAAGCTTTTGAGTCCAACATATGGACTCAAATGTCACTACAGAGAAAACCTTCACATACAGAGAGGTTCCTTGTTGACTTCGATGGTTGCATGGTGCAACGTGTCGTTGCGAGGTGTTTGTGGTAATATATTGGGTTTTAAATTCACCAAACATGGAGAAGTGAATTAAGAACAAATGTCTCTACTCTAGTCTTATCTTTCTAAAAAGAACATTATTCCAGAAATGTGGTAGTTTTTGCTGCCAAACTTTTTTTCTTTTTCTTCTATTTGTATTGTTAGCTATGTTGTATGTTACGTTAACTGAAGCCTGTAAAGTCTAAGGTGCGGCACCTTCTCAAAACATTACAATCTGAATTAGCTGGGACGTCCACCTCCGGAAAGATCGGGAATTACGTCAAATGTTTTCTAGTTACTTTTTTTTTTTTTGTTACTGCTGAATGTTGGACATAAAATTGTTTCCAAATAAACTTACAATCATTACCACATTTGTTGGGCAACAGGAAATGCTTCTAACTGCACATATTTGTGCTACATATCAGCAAATTGCTTTTATTTAGATGATCGCTCTTGATCATTAAAAAAAAATGATCGTGTGTGTTTGAATAACAGCAATCGTTCTTCAAAATCTTTCGAATTACAGCAGACGTTTAATTCAATTAATTCCATTGCTCCATGTCAGTTTAATACATACATTGCAAACTTGGAGTTAGATATGAATAATTTTAGAATCTGGGGAAGACCAGATTATATTTAGCTTTTCCTGGTATGTAAATGTGTAAACTCTGAGAAACAAAAAGCTGTTCTATTTAGTCTGACTGTTTACGTCTTCTTCGAAACATACCGTAATGCAATCATCATTTTATTTATCCACATCAATGGATGTTTTTTCAGGAAATACATCCATTGGTACATTTTCCTGGAATATGTCAATTCCAGGAAGGAAAAAAGAAAAAAACAAACAAAAAAATTTCTCTGCCAAAAATTTGTGGGTTTTTTTTGTTTTGTTTTGTTGTGAAAAAATAAAACCGTAGGATTGGTTTCGGTTTCAACATTAAAGTGACAACATTCTTAACACGCAAACGAATCAGCAGGAAACATCATATTGTTGCTGTATTTGTTTGAATATGTGTTTATCATTCTAAAAGAAAAAAGAAAAAATCCTGAACAGCATCAGTGTTCCATGATCTAATCACTAACTTTTATTGGTCCCACACAAGCTCACAAATATGATCTTCTAGTTACCTTGGCTTTGCCAAACAATCCCGAAAGGAGTGGCCACAGCGAAAGGAAAGCCAGGCCTACAGTCAGCATGGAGCGATGAAAGAAACTCACCACCTGGGGGCAGCAGATGGCAATCAGTGATCCAGGATACAGACTGTTGTCAGACTGCATGCACCAGTTACAACTCGGATTGAACAGATCTGGGTTGGACTCAAGAGACTTACAAGCAACTCGATCCCAAATGCAACCAGCACAAAATAGCCCAAACATTTCCAGAGTGGCAGAGAGGGAGCTGATCGGATCAGATCTGACAGAGCTCCAGACCTAAACAGGAAGAAAATATTTCAGTTGTCAAGAAGAAGAGGCAGAAAATTAGGAAATTGTTATCTATTTGCAGAGGCTAGATTAAAAAAAAAACAAACAACGCAACCTCAAAGGACCTAAATGACACCTAAATAAATATGTCTGAGTGCAGTTTGGTTTCTCGTGCGATTACTCAAATTATAGTGTGGGCCATGCAGGAACTTTGCGCAATTTACACTTACATCATGAAAGGTACAGATGCTAATCTGTTTACATTTCTTTTTAAATGTGTTACTTACTCTTTTAAAGCAGAGTACCACACAGGAACTGGCAGCAAGCAGTATATATAGTAGGTAATAGGACTTCTTTGGATAAGCAGGAACAGAGTGATCACCAGAGCCACAGCAACACAAAACCTGGCCAAATTCTGATTGGGATTCTGCACACACACACACACACACACACACACACACACACACACACACACACACACACACACACACAAGTGCAATACCAGTTTAACAAGACAGGCAAGAGTTGTAAACCTCTTTTTGCGAAAGGACTCTGCTGTCCCCACCTGTTTAGCGAGGTTGGGATGACGAATGAGGCTGGCGTGAGTCCTCAGTATAACCAAGATGACATACGACGTCCAGCCTATGAATCCCAGCACCACACTGCAACCCAGGAAGAACCTGTCGTAGGTGTGGTAGTAGACCAGGCCCTCTAGAGACAGGGATATCAGAGACTGGCACAGAGTGATCTGACAAGAGATGGAAATTATACGGGAATCAAATGGAGTGATTATGATTCATTCCAAAGGAACGCTAATATTATCACACAATTATTGAAAACACAGTTATGGATTTCACAGCAGTTTGTAGTTTTCGAAGGGATTAAACAGCAAAACCTCAGAACCAATTTGATGCCCATCTAATATTTCCTGATTAAATTTAAACATAGTTTAATCAATTCTCTGATATTTACAGCATCATTGTACTTCTCTAACTGTATCAGTATCCGGGCCCTGTGAGTGAATTCGGCTTGCTTTGACTCAGTCAGGAGTCTGGGGAAAAAAAAACAAAAAAAACATCATCAAATTACTGACCTGCTTATCTTAAGATAAAAAACAAGCTAACTTGTACTGTATTATCCTGTGTATTGTACTCACTGGAATGGTGTGAACAGAAAAGGTAGAGTTGTCTCTTTTTTCTGGATCATTTTCATCTATTGGAAAAAAACAAAAAACAAAACAACAACCGTGGTGTAATTGCTGTGTACCAATGACAGTAGTACAAAAGTCTCACACTGTGCGACATGGCAGTTAGTATACAGCAGAAGTGCATGCTGTGATACCTTGAACTGCTCCAGTACTTGGATGGCATTAGTGTACATGCTTTCAGCTTTGAACTGGTCACTGTTGTTGAGGTAGAGGAGAGGCGTCACTCCCTGGAAAAACACACACATATAGAACCGTGTCGTGAGTAGACGATTCTCTTTCAGGCAAGCTAAGTAATGCACTGAAGAGGTATATTTTGAGAATTGTATCTATTTGATCATTATTATGATTATCCACCGACTTACAACAGAGTTAACTGGAATGGGCAAACCAAGGAGAGAAGCCATGAGTGGAGCAATATCAGCCTGTAATAAAAAAAAAAAAAAAAGAAAATAAAAAAAAAAAAAAAACGGGAAAAACCGTTTACACAACTTGACCTTATCAAATTGCAATAATTTATTTCTACAAATTATAATTTTGTCAGACAGATCCGCACAAAGCTTTGCATTACATAAAAATCTGAAAACGATAGTGAGCACTGTCAGTTTTGCTCATGTCTGCTTCTCTTATGAAAGTTTTCCTTCCGCTGCCTTGTAGTTTAGTTAGACAGTAACGGCGCATTAGGTCCGTAGTTGTTACTGTGCTGTTTTACGGTTGCAGCTTGGATTAGCACTCAGTGAAATGCTACATTGGGGTGTGTTCATATTTCTATTTTATTTGTAGGCTGGATGCTTCTTTAGAGCAATCACAAGTGTTACTTTTGAAACTTGGATGCTTTAATATTTAACTCATGTGTTTATTGCTGTACAATACTGCTATATATATATATATATATATATATATATATATATGTTTATTTTTTTTTTTCCAATAAATACACTAAAAAGATTAAACAAAATTAAAGCCTAGTCCAAAACCTGCTCTCATTTTCTCCTCAAACTGACTTGTTTCTTGTGTTCCTTGGTCTTCATGATGCTGTTTGTTTCCTAATGTTCTCTATAATACCTCTAAAGCTTTTTACTGAGACTGAATTACACACAGGTGGCACTGGATTTTATTTATAAATAACAGAGCAAAGAGCAGTGGTCAAATTTATAGACACATTAAAATGTGTCTATGACACATAGACACATGTGTCATAGGAAACATAAAATGTGTCTATAAATAAAATAAAACTGTTGTACCATTTTTACTTCACTTTACAACCATGTGCTAACTTGTACTGGTCTATACCATAACACCCCAATAGCACATATTAAAGTCTGTGGTTGTAATGTAAAGAGTTCAAGGGGTATTCACACAACAGTAAAAAAGAAAATGTTGCATTCTTCTCACCTGATTTACATCAGCTCTACGAATATGCTCCAAGTTCCAATCTGGAAAGGAGACCAACAAGAAAAGCAAAAGGCTTCTATGAAATCAGGCACACATTTTCAAAAGCTGGCAAAAGTTGATATACCTTTTAAGTATCCATCCTCATATGGCTGGGCTTCTATGACTCTCTGGGCCCTGTTAACTCCAGCTCCCCACACCACTAACGGTGTGAGCGTTTCAGAAGGATGGCCTGCACCGTGGGAACCTAGAAGAGGGAAACTTGCAGTAAATGAATACCTTTTCTTCTTACTTGTGTAGCAGACGTCAAAACTAAACCTGTACAAAACCCTCACCCCAGTTTGTCATGCCATGATCAGAGGTAAACACATAGGCAGTTCTCCCATCATGGCCAAAGAAGTCCTCCATCAAAGACACAACCTCGGCTACACCAGTGTCCACCAGGGCAATGTTGTCCAGGTATTCCCTGTAGAAAACACAAAGAGCAAGGCAAAAATGATGCCTCGTGAGGGATTGTTAATTTGTAAGAATATGCAATTAAAGTTCAATAAATTCAATCCCAAAAGCCAGGAGAGAAACATCCCAACTCAATATAACCTACTTACTGTGACATTGGTCTGTGAGCATGCCCATTAGTGTCGATGCCAAGCAAATGCAGAAAGAAGATGTTTTTATCCTCAAGCAGAGTGGCTTTCAGAGTGGAGTTAGTCTTTGCGGCTTGAAAGAAGGACTGTCACAAAGTTTAAACAGAAACACGGTTATTCTAAGAAAGCGCCATGAGGTGCCTTGTCTCTGCAGATACTTAAAAGAAAAAATCTAAAGTGGCAGACTTAATTAGTCGGCATAGATGTACAAATTGCAGCCGTTATCTTTCCGATCAACATCTCAACAGCGGTACCTTGACTTGAGTGAAAACCCAGGTGTCCAGCCTGGATGCATCTGTTGAAGCAAAGTCCTCTTCCTCTGCTGGGTATGTGTGGGTATAAACATGGTCACCAGTTGCACCTAAAAGAAAATGCAAATACTAAAATAGTAAACAGCAAATGAGCAATGTCATTGTTTAACAATACAGAAAATGAAGAGAAACATTTAGAGATTCTGTGAAAATAAACAATAATAAATATTATTGTTGTTGTTATAAGTATTTTTATTCTCTTGAGAGGTTAGTGGTTCATTGTGTTCATAGCAATAAATGATAATTTTTGTGATTGACTCACACAAATACCCCCCCCCCCCAAAAAAAAAATGCCATTTCAAAATGCAATGTTCTAATTTAAAATCAATAATCATTCTGTAAATCCTAGTTTGTGTTGTGTTGTTTACCATCTAAACAGAGCAAGAAACAAACAATAAACAAAACGTTAAAGAGTTTGGTCTTTTTGTGTGCATTTACTCAAGGCCCAAAATGATCAATGAGTTGAAAAAGACTTGCGTACTTAAGTTGCATCTACATCTATAAATGTAGATGGTTATAGATGTATAACCATCTACATTATACATCTATAATGTAGATGGTTATAGGACACCATCTACATTTAAATCAATATGAAGAAATTGTATCTTATAAGTGAAAGGATAACAATTAAACTCAATTGCTTTTTTCCATGCTCAGCTTTCTCTTTTCTTTTTACTTATTCTGACTTGATAAATAAAAAGAAATCATACTTTTTCACGCTAAGTGGGAACTTGTTGACTACCTTTGGCAAACATTGGGAGGATGTCTGGGCTCCCCCAGCACCAGGTGCTTCTGCTCTCATTAAACACTGAATCAAACTCTACTGGATTCTCCTTCCAACCTGAAAACATGCAAAGAAAATGTTAATAACCCTCATAAAGAGACGATGCAAAAATCCTGCAAAAATGTATTCTTGGAAAATCCCAACCTTTAGCAGCCTACCTTTAGCAACTGCACTGACATCCTCATAGAAGCCTGCGATCAAAGCAACGTGACCGGGCCGAGACTCAGTAGGTACACGTGTATGAGAGACGCCCCAGGTGCCGGTCTCCTCTATTACGGTCCTGATGGTAAAAAAAAGTTTAGGTCTATTTAAAGAATAAAAACAAAGTGTGTTCAACTTCACTGCCTACTTTAAATCTATTTCCCAACCTTAGGAATGGAGTTCTACTTGAGCTGTTGGGAAGCAGCGTGAAGAGACTATCAGCTCTGAGGCCATCAGCCACAATCAACACCAGTCTGGAGGCAGGGGGTGCCAGCGGCGTGGACTGGGGTGTCATGCCGTGGACCAAAGGGGATGTGAAGTAGATGTCAAAGATAGATAGGAAGAAAACTACATGGACTGTTAGTCCCATCAGGAAAAAGGTGATCATCTTCATTTTGATTGAAGACTGCCCTGCCTTTACAGAGGAACGCTGAGGTTTCCTGAGATGAAGGAAAGGGAAAAAGCATAGAAGTAGAAAGCCATAGGTAAAGATTATATTGAAAGTATATATAGTAAATATAGTGAGCTAAAAATAAAGTTTGCAAAGAGAATTCAAATGGAAGACATATCAGCTTTACTATTAGACTGGCTAAGTCAATCTATCTGCTACAGAAAGGCTTTGTAAAAGGACTAATCCGCTCCGTTCACCATATGCCACTAGCCAATCTGCTAAACGTCAAACACATTAAAAACCTAAAAAAAAAAAATTGTGGCATTTTAATGGTTACAGTTTTTCCTTTATATTTCATGTATACTAGAAAATCTGCTAGATCTGAGACGGTGGAGTTATAAGTCTTACCTGTATATAATGTCAACTTGATCCTGACATAAAGTGCTTTAAAGAGCGCTTTGGATAATATATGGGGGATCGAAAAAAGAAAAATTACCCATTCAAAACAAATGTTTCCTTAAATTTTATCTTCGTAAATGAGCCACCGAAACATATCCAAAGAAACAGGCTGATTAAAGCTGCTGTTTCGAAACAAGATCACGTAATCTTTAAGTGGATGCTTTTACAAAACCAGCGATCCCTCTTTGTAACAAGATTACTACAAGAAATACAGGCAGCACGAGAATTTACTTCCTTGTTGTGACTTTGGCGTTGACTCTTAACGCGTGCGCCCGAGCTTGCATTGTGGGTAATGTAGTTCAAAGATATATCATTTAATTTCAGCAGGTTTTCTAAATTAAGACGGTACAACAATCATTTGCTCGTATTTTTTTGTATTTGCTTAAGCACTTGAAGAGCAGAAAAATAAACATCTTTATTTACAAAAGTTATATTTTCCATTTTTGACATGACACTAGCTAGCATGAGCTGTCAACTAACAATCATGCCCTGCCCAGCTACCTCGGAAATATCCAATCACTTTTCAACATTCCATTAAAAGGGCGGGCCTTAAGAAGACGTCTCCAAAATTTAGCCAATCGTAATGTCGTATTCTTTCCCCACCTAACCATACACATCAGTATCCATTCAGGAAGACGGCTCTCTGATTAGCCTAGCCTGCCTGGGTTTAATATATATATTTATTTATATATATATATATATATATATATATATATATATATTGGAAAAATGGCGTCGGTCAACCCATTTGATGTCAGTGATTCTGAGGAAGAAGCAGAACGACGTCCCAATGAGACGGTTGACACAGAAAGAAGCCCGAGCGAGGGGGCGCCAGGTCCACCGCAAGGCAATCCCTTCTCTCCGCCTGCAGATGCCGAGCCTCCGACACTGCTGCTGTCTAGCAACCGGACAAGCCCCAGCGGTGAGGGCATGTCGGTTTCGGCCGCGGCCACATCCACTATGGCAGGCGGTGTGGAGACGCGGGTGTCTGTGGATGTTATCGCTGCTCAGCTATTGCGGGACCAGTACATTCTTACGGCCCTGGAGTTTCACACTGAACTGCTGGAAGCAGGCAGGGAGCTTCCGCGGCTAAGGGATTATTTCTCCAACCCTGGCAACTTCGAGCGACAAAGCGGCACTCCACCTGCCAAAGACCAGGTGCTCGGACCTGGAGGACCACTGAGTAAGTAGCGTTAGCTCATCTTGATGCTACTAGCAGCAGTTTTCCAACCCTGTCTTTACTGCGGTATCGCATAAAGATAACTCAGTGGCTCGCTAACGTTAGCTCAGAACCTGGCTGTAGTAGTCAGTTGATCTCGAGATCGCAGCTTTCTGCTCCTGCCCAAGCCCTTGAGGGCCGCAGTCATCAGACGGGTTTTGTGGGTCAGTTATCTTGGCAGCTAGATCAGTGCCTTAGGTCATGATGAAAACCCTTTAACTTGACAGATGACGATCGATTGAAGGGGGTAGGCAATATTGTGACAGACCGGTTGTGATGGACCTGGTGTAATAAAACACCCCTTTCTTCAGGCCACCTGCAGGTCAGAAGTCAAACAAACTACAACTGCAGAGCAGTCTTTAGGAAAGAGAGGTCTTCTTGCGATACCTGCCCTTAAATTAATTAGTTGCAGATACTCCAAAAAATATATTTTCTGTCAACTTTCTCAACATGCAAGGACTACCTTGCATGTGTTCATCTTATTCTGTGCCAGACTCATACAACAAAATTAAATTAGCTGTTGCATGCTGTATGTCTTAAGCATTCTCATCTGCTTATGGGGCTTCTAATAGAATAACCAGTGTCTGAAGCTTGAGAGTCTGTAGGCAAACACAACATGCAAATAATTACCATAGTTACTGTCTGCATCACAAATAAACCTTGTTGTTTTACTCTAATGGCATATATGTAGCCTTACCTGTTGTGAAAAGGAATGACTGTCATGAGATTCTTATAAAAAGATAACATTGACCAGAAATACAATTATTTAATTTTATCATGATATCCGAACAAAACTTTAGGACAAAAATATTTAGCATTATCTGACTGTCTTTCTTTAAAACAAAACATCATAACGTATCCATTAGAATCTGTCATATTTTATTATTGATCAGAGAAAAAAGGCCGACAAAAAATTGATTTAAATTTCCTAGTATTCTTAAAAGCTTTTTTGTTTAGAGTATTATCCCAGTGTGTCCTGCGATTTGTATAGTAATAAAAGTACAACTCAGCCAGACATGCAGCTACAAAGTAAAGGTGACCTTTGACCCGGGGGAGAAAAAGTTGACAAAGCTTTTGTTTAGCCCTATGAATGGAATTCAGCCACACTGCACCAAAAATAGTTCTATGAAGCTTCCCCAGGTCAAAGGGCATCATATTGACTGAAGAAAACTCAATGGGGGAAAAAAAAAAAGTTCAATTGTGAAGACGGCGTTGGGGGATGGTTTAGAATTTGAAAATGTTCTGCTGATTTTAAGTTACTGTTCTTTTATAATATGTTGTCCTAGTATCTTGTTTATTGTCTCAGAACAGACCCAACTTTGAGTTCCTGAATTATTTGAATTACTTGCAATATTTCTTTGTTGTTTCTGGTAAAACAGATTGTTTCTGGATCTTGCTGATATAGTTCTAAATCACAGCCATGGATGCGATTCGGCTTGAAATTTAGAAGCAGTAAAGGCTTTTCACTGTGCTCCAAATGTGATGGTCGTAGGGTGTTATCAGAATCAAAGCTAAGGAAAACCAGAATCCCAGTTTGGTTGTCATGCAGGACGGCCAGTACTTCAGAGTGTTCTCCTGTTATCTCGGGAGGCTGCTGTGTTGGCATCCTCTGGGTGTCAGGTTCTTGGTGTCCTTTGGGTGTCAGGTCAGCAGTTTAAAACTGTGCATTACTTGAAGATCAAAGCAGAAAACACAAACTGACTGTTCTACAAGTCGGACACAGAGAGCGCTCTAGTAACTGGATGAAACCCACAAAAGGTGTGGAGGACGACCACCTTAAAAATAAGAAAGTCTTTGAAAAGCGTGACGTACCGAGACGTCTCCCGTATTGTGGTACTGACAGGACTGTCAAATGGGAATATTCATCTTGGTCTTCATAGCTGCTGATAAAATATGACATAGAAGAAACAAAACTCTCGACCAGAGTAGAAAGAAATGGAAAAAGTACTATGTTCATGCAAGAGGGAGGACTTTGACATCACGTCATGTTTTGTTTCCTGCCAAATCCAACAGCAAGACCTCAATAATAATTTTTTTTTTCCTTTTATTAGGAAATATTTATTTTATGTAAAATCTATTGTGAGATATGAAAATATCCACCAATATTCATATCACAAAGAAACTAATTAGTGGCTTAGAATCTCATTCTTTCAGAGGAGTAAAATTCACAAATGTCATGTGAGCTATAAAAGTCAAATAAAACCCATTCTTCCTCTGCTGACCAGCTATAAATGTTTTCGATGGGGCCAGTCAGAACACAGAGCCCGTGTCAGCTCATCATGTGCAGCTGATCGCAGCGAGAGGGGAGTGACTGGGCCGCTGCAGCAGCTGCTGCAGCCGCTGCTCCCGGCCACATGACACAACAAGACAATCCCCACCCTCTTTTAATCATCAGCAGGAAGGTTTCAGAGATGTTCTCTTCACTCCAGGGCTTAGTAATCAAATTGTTTTTTGTTCATATGACACATTTTATGGTGTAATGGCCGTATGTGCGCTTTTGGAGCAAGAAAAAAAAAAGCTGTTCTTACCTACAGACATAAGCTGCACACAGAATGAGTTTCATGTTGTGCTCAATGTTGAGATGCAGTCGGTTTGCCATAACTACCGACTTGTTTTATGCATCTCTTGATCCAAACAACAAAAAATTTGTAATTATTTCAGTTTTTTTTATTTTGTTTAGTTTTTCTGTTAGACTTCTTCTGGCGATCTGAAGCACATTTTTCCTCATCACCCTTGTCTGAGCCAAACTAAACATGCCACATCCCGACAAGGTGTGAGTTTTCGCCTTAAGGCACGTCTTAATGTGACAGCCACAAAAAGCATGGACATTGCAAAATAAGAAATTGGAATACAAATACTTTCTTGCTTGTAATAGTAATCTGGAACCCGTTTAAGCTAAAAGTTCTCTTTGTGTGGGTAATTACTTAACATGATTGACAACAATTTAATAAAAAAAAAAAACATTCAATTGCATGCACCTTAATTGGAGACACTGTGATTAAGAGATGATGAATGCCAAAATACCAACCAGCGTCCAACCAGTTTATCTTTGTTGATAAACTGGTTGTACTAACGATGCAAGAGGATCATGTTTCTTTTATATCAGTTTAGGTTGGAAATGAACCCTTTGCATCAAATTTTAATATTCCCTTTAAAGATGACCTGAGTAAATTTGAAATGCAATTTCAAATTATGAGTTTATTTATCAAAGGCAACAAATTCCAAACAAACATGAATCTTTTGTCATTGGGCAGAAATCTTTGCTAACCTTTTTTTTTTTCTTTTTTGTTTTGGCTTTATAATTATTCACATTGGAATAGTTATATTCCAATGTGGATTAAACATTTAAATATTTCTTATTTAAAAACTGCTTTTTATATTTACTCAGGTGTCATGTGTGGCAAAAAATGAGTGACATCTGTAAGGGGCAGCGTTTTTCACAGCACTGTTTATTGTTGGACCAGTCCCAGACTCCTTCAGCCTCTTTCAAAATCTACTCTGATTTATGTCTCAGTAATCTTACTACTGCCCCATTTGTCCCATGATCCATTGTAAACCAGTATTATTCTTGCCAAGAAGACTCTTCATTAAATTAAATGAGCTTGTTGGCAACGTCCTGGTATCGTATCTGGCCCCATTTTTTTTTTTTTTTTCAAATACTGCTTTGTTTCTACTCAGTGCTTGTTTATTGGCTGATTAGGCATGTTCATTTTGATTCAGGCATATAAAAGAACCACTAAATGCCTGATTCTCATTAAGGAATTGTGATTTTTTTTTTTTTTTTTTTTGTGCGTGTACATTCAATTTCTCTGTTGTGGTGTGATGAACGGTTCCTAACTGAATTCTCGATAGATGTATGAGATGTATCTTTTTTGAAACTGTATTTTAAAAGACTTAAAACATAAAGTAAACAAGCTTGACTTTTTTTTTTTTTAGGCCAACACAACAACATTTAGCCTGACTCTGTCCAGTCTGTGGATGATGGAACAAATGCATTGCAGTGGAAAGAAAGCCAACACCATTGACAAAGCAAACCGGGCAGCCAAGCTCAGTGCAATATGATCCTGAATGTGCCTATTTATCAGCGTTATCGTTCCTCAAAAGTTTTAAGTTTGTTTTCCTTCCCCTATGCTCACTTTCAAAGTTGCGTCCGTTTCTATTGTGTTAAGCAAAATCTTTTTTTTTTTTTATTACAGTATATGTATGCGCTGTGAGGACTTTTCAGTTTATCCTAATCTCTGCTTTAAAAGTTTATATGAACCAACTCTGTCAATGTGTGAAGGAGGAGGCTGCTAGATTTAAAAGGGAGTGTCTCTGAAGCACTTTCCTAATTCATTGCCACATTTCTTAAGCTCTGTTAGCTGGGAAATTCTTTGCGTAACTGTTGCGATTGATGTTACTCCTTCTCTCACTGCTGCCTCTGTGTCCCTGTTTCTATGCAGATCGAGCAGGCAGCATTAGCACCTTGGACTCTCTGGACTTTGCACGTTACTCAGATGACGGCAACCGAGAGTCAGACGAACGGGTGGCAGGTAAGATGAACCATAGCGTCGGGGATCCAAGCAACGACGGCCGTTTTACCTTTGGGGAAATAAAAGAGGGCAGGAGAGGAGAAATGGGCCAATACATCCCATCAATATCTTCAGCTCCTTTAGCATGCTTGTTACAGAATAATTGCCTAAGTATGCAACGTTAAATATTCCAAACTTTTTGAATTAGCACTACCTTGAATGAGTGGTAGAGGTACATTTAAATTTCTTGTCAGATTTTGGGGCTTTGTTAAGGTTTTTGGAGCGCCACCTGAATTCTCAAACTTATGGTGTCAGCCAGTGGTATTTTTGTCACTGTTTTTTTGTTTGTTTGTTTGTTTCTTCTTTATAATTGCACTTTCTTACCACTTTGGAGCTGTCAACATTTTTCATAGTTGAATAAATTTCTAATTGTGTCTTGCCATTTCACAACTGTACATGTAAAAGCACCTGCTCGAGCATTAGCCTTTTCTTTGTTTTGTTTTTTTTTAGGTACATTTGGACGAGTAATTGTAGGTTGTTCACAAGGAATTATTTATTTTTTTTTTTATTCTCTTTGTGGTGAAAATGTAGTCTTTATCTAAAGGATGTTTTTAAGTCGTAGCATCAGTTACATGTTAGCATCCACAATGCATAAAATAGAAGATTTAAAATTAACTGCATCATCTTTTTGCTGTTGTCAGCACAGAGCCCCAAATGCCCAAAGTCATAACTCTAGTTTTGTTACCAAAGCAGGACATTTTTCTGAAGATCTCAGCTAAGGCTATCTTGCAGATGGACTCTATGGGATCATTTCCAATAAGCTACAGTATTATTGAAAAGTTAATTTATTTCTGCAAATCACGGTAATTAAAAAAGTAAAACCTGCATATTGATCGATTCATTACACACAGAGAGAGATTTATTTCTAGCACTTATTCTGGTCATTGTAATAATTATTGAAACCACGTCAAATTCCTCAGAAAATAGAAATATTACGTCGGATGAGTTAAAGACAACAGTTTTGAATGTATAAATGTTGGCTTTTTTAAAAAAGTAGGTTTGCAGTATACACATTCGGTACTTGATTGAGGCTGCTTTTGCTTGAGTTACTCCGTCAGAGCAGCGTTACACGGAGGCGATCACCGTATGGCTCTGCTTCAATGTTATGGAAGCCCAGTTTGCTTTAATAGATGCCTTTAGCTCGTCCACATTGCTAGCTTTGCTGTCTCTTGTCAACTTGCAGGCAGTCCTCTGTAGATTCTCAGTTGGATTTAGTTCAAGTGAGTCTGTGTTTTGTTGCTCTTGAAGCACTTGCTCTGACCACACCTTATGAATCTTTTTTTTCACAGCGCAGTCAAGGCTGTGGCAATCCATGTTGCTCACAGACCTTTTTTTTTTTTTTTTTTTTTTTCAACTACACTGTTTTCTTCCACTCAACTTTCTTCTACTTGAGAATGGCACTCTGAACAGGCAGTTTCTTTAGCAGTGAGCTTTTTGTGGTTTGTCTTGTGGATACTGCATGTCAAGCCTTCAGGTTGAATGTGGTCATAAAACCCTGTTTCAATATTAAAAATGTAAATTTTTAATGGGTCTAATGTAAAAATTTAATTTCCTGGAAAACAGAATTTTGAGTTTTCATTTGCTCTTTGGTGTGATTTTCAACATTTCCAGATATAAATTCTTGAAATATGTCTCTAATTGTGTAATGAATGTTACAAGTTTCACTTTTGTAATTGCGTTACTAAAATATATGAACTTCTGTGCTAATATTCAAATTTAATGAGATGCATATACATATTAAGTTCACTAATGTCCTTTTAGTTTGGGTCTTTTATTACTTGATTAAACTCAGAGACATTGACTATCAGATACAGTTATATCTATCATGCAGCAGAGATTTTGGTTTCACATCCATGAATGATGATTTGATAAAAACGATTATTTACAGACACCCTTTCTGTACAAAATGTGCACCTCCACCCCCACCACCACCACCACCACTTTGATCCATACCTGTTGTCATCTCCCACAAAGTGCTCTTCTTGTTAAAACGCTGCCCCCCCAGCTGTCTGACTCTGGGTTTTCTGGCTTTCTCCTGACGTTGATCAAACCCCAGTGAAATTCTGGACAAGTCACTCCATCCAGACTAGCTTTTTGTTTTGGTTTTATTTATTTATTTTATACCTCTCCCCGTTATTCAGTTCATGGGTTTCCATTTTGTTCAGATTGCAACCTGTGCACTCTTCATCTGTAGAAAAGGTTACATGAGATTATGATTAAAAAGACACAAGTTTGTATTGCAGGAAGAACTTAGGTTAACTTTTACTTAATAGAGAGATACAATCAGAGCGAAACAGATTTTCAGTGCACAGATATGCAACGTTGTTTCCTTGCTCCATTGCTTATCACTTCTTGCGTGTGTTCTGACTCTGACGTGTGAATCTTGTTTGTTCCCTATTCTTTTTTTTTTTTTTACGTTAGATTAGGAGCTTTATTGCAAATAAAATATTTTCTCCTCATACCTGCTGTTTCTCTGTAGTTTGTAAGACATGAGAAACAATTAGCTAATTTGAACACGTTTTTGAAAGATAAAAAGAAAATATGACTCTGAAACTGAAACAAAAACTGAATGATTTGACTCCTTTTTCTTGTAGCTCAGAGCCGATTTGTTGATGCAGCAATGCTAGAATCTGTGAAGAACAAGTTCCCTGAGCAGCATTGTCCTTTGAGCGCCTGGAAACCAATTGCCTAGGAGGAAACCTAGTGTCAGACAGCTCCGAGATTAGAGAAAGTAAAAAAAACAAAAAAAACAAATTGACCACCATTTACAAATTTGATGGCAGGAAAATCTCCTGCCTGTCAATAAACCTACAGGCAGGTTTACCATGATCCTCTGCTGCATGCATTTTTTTTTGTTTTTTTTTTCTATGAACCCATGATCTGCATGCTTTTTTTTTTTTTTGCTTCATTTGATCTTCAGTGTCATATTTTCAAATGCCCCATCTTTGTTTAATTTTGTGCCCTGTGTTTGGTTGGATCCACTTCCTGTGTGTGTTGTCATTTCCTGTCCAGTGCTGGAGTTTGAGCTACGGAAAGCAAAGGAGACCATTCAGGCTCTGCGGGCCAACTTGACTCAGGCAGCAGGTGTGGCGTACTTTTAACTTCTTCTCCACCTCAACCTTTTCTTGTTACAGTTTTCTCTCTCTCTTTTTTTTCATTACGAAGAACTTCAACGAAAAAGCTAATCCTCAGTACTGGTTCAAACATTTTTTTTATTTATTTTTTTTTTTTTTTCATTTTCTCAATTTCTCAGAGAGTGAAGTGGCATCTCAGGAGAGAAAAAACTTCAAATCGAGTCCTGAAATCCAGGTGGGGAAGCTGTCGAAATAAAGTGAAAGGAAAATATTAGATTCATTCTTTAAAGCTTCATGAGATGTAACCAAAAAAAGCTCTAGCTAAACTTTCACCCTGTTCTTTTCTCCTTCGTCAGGAGCCCATCCGCCAACTGGAGAAAAGAGCCTTAAACTTCCTTGTGAATGAATATTTATTAAAAAATGAATACAAACTCTCATCCATCACCTTTTCTGATGAAAACGATGATCAGGTAAAAGCTTTTTCCGTTCATAGGTTATTCCAACAAAAGATTTTCTTTTATTTTGAAGGAAAATAACATCCAACTGGTGATTTTAAGCACATTCACAGTTTTAGATCAGTTATTTAGATATCTTGCCGTCCCACGTATGATCTTATAAACGACATCCGTTCCCTGAATGCTTCCTTCTTGTTCTGTTTCGTATTCATCTCCAGGACTTTGAATTGTGGGACGACGTCGGTCTCAACATCCCAAAGCCTCCCGACCTGTTGCAGCTCTACAGGAACGGTGGCAGCACGCTCTCCTCTCCAAGAGATAAGGTGGACGTGTCTGTCGGTGTGGCTTTTGGCGACCTTCCAGGAAACTGTGTCGTACGAGAGCCCCAAAAGAAGCCTGACCTGTCACAGCAGGTGTGTATAAGCACTTTTCTGTATATGTGTATTTACAGTCTGATGGCTTCTATGCAACGCTGCATTGATACAGTATTTCTGGGGAAAAAAAGCAGCCCCAACTATTCACTTGCATAAAAATATTTTTCAGTTGGTGGAATTTTCTGTTTTAAAAAAAATCCCTTCTGTAAAATTTAGATTTTCTGGGAGTCTGAATATCTGTCTCGATCTTCATCCAACTCTTATAAAACCAAAGAATGTTGCTGAAGTCACTGATTTCTTGCTATACGTAATACACTTTTATTTTTTTGCCAGAATTTCCCATTTTTTGTGTGTTTTCTCTAGCAACAGTCAGAAGTTGTACAAGAACTGGAATACCAGCTGAACCTCCTGAACAGTGAGAAACAGAGTCTTGCTGAGCAGATAAAGAAACTGCAGAGGTAGCTGCTTGCACTCACTCTGGGGAATGACATCGTCTCCTGTGCTGCTGATGAGCCTTTCATTCATTTTTTTTTTTTTTTTTTTCCTATGGCTTGTTTTTAGTGATGCTTCAAAAACAATATCAATATTTCTTTTTTTTTTTTCTTTTTTTTAATTGCTTCACAGTGAGATTCAGATCCTGAAAAAGAGCGTCTCGTCTCCGCCTCCAGCCACTGTGGAGCTTTGCTCCTCCTCTAGCTCCTCAAAGCCCTGCTCCACCAATCCTCCTTCTGTGGTGTGTGGCTTCTTTACTTATGTGTACAAATTATATAAACATATGCCTGTGTGTAACTCTCTAAGTAAGTTTTTTTTTTTTTTTTTTTCTTTCTCTCAGCCTTCTTTAGATAATGGTCAGTATCTAGACATTCGAGGGGTGTCGGAGGCTGGAAATGACCTCGTATCGACCTCCACTCAGAACACATCACAGTCCCAACAGCAGACCTGCAACAGAGCTACGAGTCAACAACGCGTCCAGTTTGATCAACCAAATAGGTGAGTGGAAATCTGAGGAAACGTCACCTCCATATGTCCTTTTCATCCATAATGATTTCACTCTGAAGTTAGTCATTACATTACTTGTTTTACTTCATTAAATCTAAAATCTCCTGTCTGCACACGTACCCAGAGCTGATTGTCAAACTCGTAATTTTTCTCAACACAAGAGCTCCAGATTCTGTGAAACACAGTTTTAGATTCTTTAGTTTTCTATGTAGACCAAAGGGCCACGTGAGTATGAAGTAATTTTAAAACTCACCATTACTGTATTTTGATTCTTCTGTTTATGTTTTGCTGTAACTCTATAAATTCTACAATAAAGAACAACTTCTTTACGTCTTTAGTTTTTTCAAGGGGCCACAACTAAAGTGAATGTTATCAATGTATATGTCTGGGCAGCTTCAGTGACAGGCCTTTTTGTCCCAAAAAGCATTTGTATTTATTATTTTCTCTTCCAATCAAAAGCAACCATGGCTAAGTTAAATTGATGTTTAAATGCTCTAAATATTTGAATAATATCAGGTATAAAATGATCCCAAAATTAACGGATGAAACCATTTTTTTTTGCGTAGTTGCATGGTATGTCCACTAGATGGCGGTAGAGATCTGGCTTTGCAGACAGGATGGACAGGCTGCCCTCTTGTGTGAAAATGCAGATTTCTGCTCTTGCTGACAGAGGATTTTTATTTGGTCGTTGTTTCAGAATTTCTACCTCTAGTCCTTTCACTTATAACACTTAATGCCTCACCCAGTACAGAATCATACCTGTTTTTCCTGTCTATAACTAATGGACTGGATTCAGTTGAAGGCCATTCAACTTATATTCTCACAATACTGTTCTAATGTCTTTTTGCTCTGACTTAATTTAGCAAATTTTGTGTGCAAGGCAAACAGCAGTTACATGCGCACGTGGCAGGAGTTTAGCTCTCTTGCAGCTTGGCTCTGTTTGCACCTCTGTCATTTTGTGGTCGGAGCAATTGCCAAGCCCCTTTTTTGGGGGGTGGGAATTAACAGGAGTTGTGGAGCGCTGCACTATAATGATGGTTTCCAACGTGACTTTTTCCTGCCATTCCAGGAAGTTATCCCCGGCCTTCCAGCAAGCCCTGCTGTCTTTCTGCAGAATGTGCTCCGAGAGTCGACTCGGAGCCGAGGTCAGCGACACAAAACAGCGGGAAGTGGATCGATGCATTTCAGGGCAGCAGAAACTGATGCGTGTCCCTCCTGCCTCCAGGTGTCTCGCATAGCAGACAGCGAGGAAAGCGTGATGCTGATGCTGGGCCGCTGTCTTCCTCACATCGTCCCCAACGTCCTCCTTGCTAAACGAGAGGTAACCCTCCCACCCACCACATCTGCTGCCCCTCTGCGCTTCTCTTCCTCGCCACCCTGTATCCGATCAATCACATGCATCTTGTCTTAATATCCAATAGATGCACACAGAGCAGCAGGACTAAGCAGGGGGATTGTTTCGGGGAGCTCCAACGACTTGATGTTCTTTGTTCGAAACCTTTTAGTCTACATAAACTACAGATTTATTAGCTTATTTTTGTTATGATCATTTTTATGTCTATATATTTTAGATATCAGACTTGATCTCCTTATCAGAATTTGCTTAACTTAGTTGAGCATGCTTTCACAATTTGACGTTGCTGAAAAGTATTTTCCTTAGAGTATACTTTTTTTTTTTTCTTGCATATGTTTTTCCTTCAAGTAGTAGACGAAACCCAGCATACCTGTAGCGTGACGGTGCACACTGTGTTGGAGGCTTTCAGTCTTCTGGAGGATGGTTTGTTATTTAAATGTCAACCCGCAAAATTTGCGCAGCGTTTTATAGAGTTTGCTTAGCAAATAAACATTCTCAGCCTGTAAATCTCCTGCTGTCTTGTGTCTCATCTATTGATTTTGAAATGTCATCCTGCTTTGAGGAGGCATTTGGTTTCACTTTATCATCCTCATCGTCATTTCTCCGCTGCTACTTTGGATTGGTCTGTCACATTTTTGCTGGCCTTTTGCCTCTTCACTGGTTTTTATTTCTATTCCTCTCTTCGTCTCACTCATTCTCTCACTCTCATGCATGCCTCTCTTCTAGAGAATGGTTTCACATCTTTGCCAGGTGAGTCTTTCACGCACTCATCTGCATGGTTCTGACGTGTAGATTCAAGCGACTTATGGCCAACTTTCCCTCTGAAGCTACAACTGCTAAGAGCGGCGACAAATAAGTGCATGAAATAAGTAAATGCATAAAAGAGCGCAAGTAAATCCAGAGTTATTTCCCATAGCTTAAAAAAAATTCTTGAGTTTTGCTATCCTGCTGTACAAGATTGCCAAAGTTTAGCAGTTTTAGCTTTTTAGGGGTTTTGTGTGATTTTTCCTGCTTATTTTCCACTAGTTGCTGAAGCTTTTCTGTTCCTGATTGTTGGAATATTCTGGTTGAAAAATCCATGCCAGTTAATTAATCTTTAACATGTTTTCAACAAGCACAGTTGAAATCAGAAATGTACACTCACCAAATAAAAAGACACTTTTTATTTCTCACTATTCGAAGTCAAATCAGACCAAACTTCTGTTTCATTTCAGTTAGAATTAGTAAAATTATATCTATTTGCTAAATGCCACATTAATAAGAAACATGTGAAAGGAAACCCAAATGGCTTGCCTTGTTTTATAGTTTTGTGTGTCTAATGTGCTCTATAAATAAAGATTGAGTGATTGATTGATCCAAGTCATAAATTTCAGATGCATTACTACCAAAAACTGTTGAAATGTACGTGAGCTTCGGATTTTGTTTACATTATCTTTTTGATTATTTAGATTTCTCTGACATATTTTCTAGGATTTCTTTTTTTTTATTATTGTCATACCAGCTTTGCTTGTTTGTGGAACAAGATCTGGACTCAGGTCCCAGATTAAAATCGAATACATAAATAAACAATAAAGTAATTTTAACTTACCTAAAACAAAAGAAGTTTGGTGCAATTTAACTTCAGACAGTGGTTAGTGATAAACAAGGGTAATTGTGTCTTTTTATTTGGTGCATGTCAACTTTCTGGTTAAAACTTCAAAGATGTTTTTTATTTTTTTTATTTTTTTATTTTTTTTACCGTCATGTTTCACCTTGCATAAATATTGATACCCCATAAGCTCGTTCACATTTGTCATGTTTCAGCACAAAAATCCATCTATTTCATTGGGGGGAAGAAAATTAGATTTACCAGCACAAAGAAGTAAATGACTAAAGAAAAGTTTCTTTTACAACTTTTAGAACACCACATATTCCACCGTTGCAAGAATAGACTCACAAATCTTTGTCAGTAAAAATTTTGAAAGCTCTCCACTGATTCTCAATTTATTTATCTTTATCCAGAATTATCCTGTATGTAGCTCCTTCCGTCTGCCCGTTAACTCAGACCAACTTCATTGTTTCTGCTGAGGGGGAAAAAAAAAAAAACCCAGCATGTTCAGATTATGATGCTGCCACCACCGTGTCTTTCTTTGTAACACGTGAAGGGTCATATTTTCTGCAACCACAGCATTTTGAATATAAAGATTTGCATTTTGATGGCTGAATACAAATGTACACCTCACTTTTCAGATTTTGTTGGGAAAAACGTGTTTAACTACTTTGTGGTGCTGCATCACAATGTGAAAAAGTTCATGAGGTATGAATACATTTGCAAGGTCATTTCAGCAGTATTTAAATTTCTTTCTGGTCTTTTTTTGTTATCTCGCACAGTAGATAACGATATTGAAGAGCAAGTGGTACAAAATAGGGGGGAAAAAAAGTGTTGAAATAGGTCAAGCAGTAACCGTGGCTCCCCTCGAACTAAAAAAAACAGACACCTGCACAGGTGTACACACTGACTACCTGCATGCAGTTTGTGTTTATGTCTGTCTATTGTACACAAACACAAAGTATTTGAATCTTTGAACCGTGTTGAAACGCGATACATCACACCTTGTGATTGTCTAAAAGAGGTAAGTCTGGTTGTAGTGAATTGCAGTTTCACTGCTTTGCATATCGCCTTGGCAATGTAGGCGTAGTGAATCTCAGGCCGTTAAGAAGCTCCTAATCTCCTTCCTAAATCAAGGTAAACAAAGCAAAGGGAGAGGTTGGTGAGAAATAAAATTACAGGGAAACGCTAATCCTCTGGAGCCCCTCTTTAGTGTTGTGGACTTTGCTCTGTGTCAGTTGGATTCACAGATCATTACCCCGTGTATTCATAAGCACAGGCAGCTGCTCACACTTTTGCTTTGCAACTTGAAACTTTGTGCCCACAAGCCTGGGGACGAGACTTTAGTTTAAATGCGAGACCCACTGAAAGGCAAAAAATTGTTTGACCTGAAACGGTGAGCTGTTTCAGGCTGCCTGCCACCTGGCTTTGTTATTAGACTCTGTAAATCAGTAAACATTGCGTTTGTGTTTCAGGTACAAGACTCTATTGTAGTGCTGGAATTTGAACTGCATCCAATTAATTTTGTGTGTGTGTGTGTGTGTGTGTGTGTGTGTGTGTGTGTGTGTGTGTGTGTGTGTGTGTGTGTGTGTGTTTGTAGTCTTGTTCTAAAACATCAACTTCTCAATTTCATTTTGTACATACAAAAAAGTACACCAATGAGAATTTTGTGGCCAATTTCCAATCTTGCACTATTGCAAACATTTAGCTTTTTTTTTTTTTTTTTTTTTTTTTTTTTTTGTCACAAACTGGACTAAAAAGATTTGTCTAGATCAGTGTTTCTCAATTCCGGTGGATTTCTTCATTAGGAATTTGCATGTTGAGGTTTTTTTTTTTTTTTTTTTTTTTGGATGAGTAGGTAAATTTCAGATTTCAGAATAAGATTCATTTTGTATTCTATGTGATTTTTATTTTTATTTTTTTTAAGTACCTCACCGTTTTGTTGGTATTGTTGCCTATGAGTACCTGGAGAGAACCCATACGTGCATAAAGAGAACAAACACAAAGGCCACAGACCAGGATTCAAACCCAGGACCTTATTGCTGCAAAGCAACAGTGCTACCAGTTTTACATGGAAAATAATACACATCAGATTTCTAATTCAAATTAATTTGAGAAACACAAAAACCATCCAGCATCTGTTGTGGAGGGGCCTGACATCTTGGTCAAGACGACAACATCTTGTTTGGCATCACATTTGTCTGTGTTGTGCAGCAATTTAACCAAAATCTGTTTTAAATTGAAATTCAGTTAATTTAGTGTGTGGCGCAGTCCTTAAATGTCAGTATGAAGTAGCTCTGGTCTTTGAAGAGAAGCATTGAGCCAATTTGTTGCTCGGCCTCGTTTTTCCCACAGTGTTTCCCAGAACAGGTCAGTTCGGTGTGTTTAACCCCCTGAAGGAGTCTCTTTCAGAAACACAAGGGTTCGTACTCGAATAAACTCGGGGTGGTTTCAAGGATCTTGGATGTGTGTGCTCTGTGAATTCCTCTGGTCATTTAATCGAGCCTGTGCTGTAGGCTTTTAGAAAACTGCTCTCGTGAAGCGCTTTCAGACGCCAAGGCAAAAAAAAATTTATTAAATGTGACAGCTAGATTTGTTTGAACTCCGTTCCTTTGCAACTTCTGAACACATGAACTGATTTCACCCACACAGGACTTGTCATTAGACACTTAAAACCATCCAGTGATACTTTATTATTGGATTTTTCTGTAGTTTGTGCAAGTCCGCCAGCCTGGCACTAACTTCACAAGGTCGGTGGAGCTTTGAGCATTGAGCGAGTGACTCACCAGAACCCCATCTTTACCCAGTCCTCTCGATAATGTCCTACTGTCGGTGTTCCGCTTGCTCTTCCAGAGCTTTGGCAGGAGAATATTATATCTTCTCGGAAAGGAAGAAAAAAAAATATTTTTAACTCTGTTTGCACTCTTTAATTTTGGTGTGTTTGTAGGGAATGTAGGACTGACCGCAGTTTGGCCATGGAGGCCCTCTATCAAGGGCAACTGAGCACTCTCCCTTCTGGCTAGAGGTCCCATGAACTCTGCCTGAACTCTGGAGTAGAGCTCAGATTTAGAAGGGGAGCTTGATGTGCGTGTGTGTCTGTCAATATCCAGCTGTGTCTGTGTGTGTGTGCATGCAGTTTGTAAGCTTCTACAGTACGTAACATTAAATGTGTGTGTGACTCCAAAGCTGAATGAGTCCTTATAAGACTGACATGATATTTGAGGTAAGCAAGTTTTCAGCGGTATTAAAGGACTCCCCATTTTCCAAAAGTTACCCTGTGTCGTATTCTGCTTGTGACGTTCCAATTTTCTCCCCGTTTTTATTGACCTAACCTCCTCCTCTGTTGCTCCTGCTTCTCCATTGACTGACCTGCTCAGTGTCGACCTTTTTTTTTTTTTTTTTTTTTTTTTTTTTTTGAGCTGCTTACGAAAGGTGTTTAAATGTAATGTGAGACCTTGTGTTTGTCCTCTTCTCCCTCTCAGGAGCTGATTCCCCTCATACTGTGCACTGCATGTCTTCACCCAGAACCTAAGGAGAGGGACCAGCTCCTCCACATCCTCTTCAACCTGATCAAGAGGCCGGATGATGAGCAGAGGTAACCGTGTATATTGTAAACATAACGGACGCGGGTTTAATTGTTCGGTGTCTTTTTAGGTTTTGCCATCCTGCTTAGGTGAAGGAGAATAATACAGTGCTCGTCCACTGACGCTTTCTCATGTAAGTCGGTTTGTGTGCCCGTAGACAAATGATCCTGACGGGCTGCGTTGCATTCGCAAGACACGTGGGTCCCACTCGAGTCGAAGCCGAGCTGCTTCCTCAATGTTGGGAGCAGGTACGGTACATTCACTGCAATCAACACCATTTTTTATTTTATTTTTTTTCACTTGATACCACTGAATTTAATTGCCTTTCAAAAGACATTTATCCCTAGACCTTTTCACATTTTCTCATGTTACAACATTATTCCATCCATCCATTTTCTTAACACCCTCCTCCCTAATGGGATGATGAGGGGAGCTGGCGCCTATGCGAGAGGCGGGGTACGCCCTGGTCAGGTCCCATGTTACAGCAAGTCTACTTTATTTGTGTAGCACATTTCAGCAACAAGGCAGTTCAAAGTGATTTACATCAGAAAAACATCATACAGTAGCCAGTTGTGTAAGCCATTAAACACCAAAGTTGGGGAGTTTTCAGATTTGTATTGGTGTCGCATTTGGAAGAACTGTGTCTCGTTTTCCTTCTGCTTTGCAGTTGTATGAAAGACAAGTGTGTGAATATGTTGATGGTAATGCTAGTGAGCTCACAAAATGTAACAACGCTGCATGTGTCAAGTTATATTAATAATGGATAAATTCAAGCATCATTTAACTGCATATGTAATGTTTTCCCTTCTTATTTCTTAATGTTTCATATTTTACTCTAGACAAAAAAAAAATACTGTTACTTTCTTTTAAGCTATTTTACCATTTATCCAGGTTCAAAGGTCAAGACTTTTAATCATTTCATTTATTTCGAGTGTCTAAAGCGCCATACAGATATATATTCAAATGTAAATTATGCAAGCGATGTCCTAAGCTTTAATGCAAAATGTAAATCACTTTGTTTCAGTGGGAAATCTGTTTAGTGCTGCTCTCTGATTATGAAAATTGCTTTCAGTGCTTTGTGAGAGACCCTGGCAGGAGTGAGATAGCAGTTTTGTTTTTATTGCCACCTGTGCAACCACACTCATGATCAACAGAAAGCAATTGCCGCAGCAATGGCCGCTGCCAGCCGTCCAGAGGCTGAGAATCTGCAGACAAAGACAAACTGTGGTTTCCACAGGGTCAGCATGTTTATGACACTCCACTTGTTTCCATTCCATTGTGACTGTAACCTCAGTCTGTCTGTCTGTCTTCCTTTTCAACTTGTGTTCCTCTTTTACATTCAACACTTGTGTGCGCACGTTTGGCCTCTGCAGATTAACCACAAATATCCGGAGAGGCGGTTGTTGGTGGCTGAAGCCTGTGGAGCCTTAGCTCCGTACCTGCCTGTAAGTTTTAAACTGAGCACAGAGTTCAAACGAAGATTATGTAGGTTTGTCGGTTTCCTTTCTTAAAATCCCTCACTTCTTCCCTCTTGTTTTCAGAAGGAAATCCGTAGCTCGCTGGTACTGTCTATGCTGCAGCAGATGTTGGCTGAGGACAAGGCTGACATGGTCAGAGAGGCTGTGGTCAAAAGCCTGGGTATTATTATGGGTTACATTGATGACTCTGACAAATACGCCCAGGTAAATATCCTGGGAAGAGGAATGTAAATCATGGCTTTCTTTTTAATCCCACTCAACTGATCCACGCAAAACTGCTGCTTTATCCGTTGCAGGGATTTGAGTTAATGCTGCTCTCGCTTGGGGACCCATCAGAGCGGGTGGTCAACGCAGTCCACCAGGTCTTCATTCCTGCCTTCGCTGCCTGGACCACAGAGCTGGGCACCCTGCACACTGCACTCATACCTTCTCTGCTGGCTCGTATAGAGAAACTGCTCACAGTTGAGTTTCTGTGTGTTGCTTTATTCGGGGTCTGCCGTCGTTCGCTTTTCATGCTAACTGAGACTTCTCCCTCTCCGCAGCAGGGAGAACACGGCCTGGACGAGCACAAGCTTCATGTTTTTCTGTCGGCTCTCCAGTCCCTGATTCCACCTCTGTTTGCAGTGGTGCTGCAGAATGCACCCTTCACCAGCAGAGCCAAGCCACACGAAGACATACCTGCGATAGAAGGTAAAACGCCCGAGAATGCACACGCGTCTCCGTTTACGAAAATCGCAATAGGTCAGCAGAAGTTTTGGCCGGAAGATGGGTTGAATGAGCAGCGTTTGTCTGTCGCCCAGTGACCCGGTTCCCGAGGCCGGCCTCTCCCCTTCAGGACATGGCTATCATCATTGGGAACAGAGAGCTGCTCAGCTCCCTGCTGCTCCTCTATGACCACCAGCTGGAGCATGAAGGAACCACTGGCTGGGAAAGCCTGCTGTGGGTGGTCAACCAGCTGTAAGACATACACACATGAGCACGTAATGTAAAACCTACTGGATTAGGGGAAATTAACACTGATTTAAGAAGTTCAGCAAAAATTTTAATGACTCAGTTAAACTTGTTTTTGAAGATTTCAACTAATGTAAATAGATACATTTAGACTGTGGCTTGCACATGTATGCTGCTTGAACCACAATCTGCACTATTTTATGGAGATTATAAATGATAGACCAACATGTTATTTAAGCTTTTCAAAACATATAAACTATAAACTCAGTTAGTAGTTTATGGGAGGCTTGTTCCAGAAAACCTTTATTTGTGACTGCAACAACAGCTTTACAGAGCAGTGCTGAATACATGCCACACTTTTCAGATTTTTATCTCGAAAACAAAAAATCAGAACAGTATCATTTGTCGGCGTCTTTCATAAAATCCCAATAAAATACAATTCAGTTTATAGATGTGACAAGACAAAGCATAGAAAGTTTAAACACTATTAATATTTGTAGGCACTGTTTTCAGTAATCGACACATATTAAACACTGTATTGAAATTTTCACAAAATCGTCAACTTAATTTCTTGTCTGTATTTTGACCAGCCTTCCTCAGCTCATAGATATTGTGGGTCGCATCAACGTGACTTCGTCAACCTGCGTTCACGAGTTCTCTCGCTTTTTCTGGAGGTTCTGTCGCACGTTTGGCAAGATCTTCACCAACACTAAGGTAAACTCTGGTCAACTACCGCGCTTTAGTTTACCGAGTTGTCATATCAAGCAGTCATAATTTTCTGTTGTGGTTTATTTTACGAGTCTAAGTTTCAAGACTAGTGCTATTACTGTATCAAATGTTTTCGCTTGTTGGCTTTTAAAGCTGTGCCAGTATTCACAGCAAACAAGCCATTTTTTTTTCTAAGACTGACCATAGATGAGTGACATGGATGTTCTGTATGTGTCGTCTGGTTTGTTTAGGTGAAGCCTCAGTTCCAGGAGATTCTAAGACTATCAGAAGAGAATGTTGGTAAGGGCTATTTTACTTTCTCTCATTTTTTGTGTGTGTTTATACCTTGTTCTAAACTCTCTCAAGAGAATGTTGATAGATGAAGTTTAAACTCCAGACACAATTGATGTAAACAAGCTATTTGGAGTCAACGTTGGGTGTTCCCCCTCTTCTTCTTCTTCTTCTTCTTCTTCTACTTGTTTCTTTTCTGTTGTTGTTTTTTAATTCCAGACATGTTTCTGCAGTTATAACGGGGTCCTTTGGTTTCATTTAGCTGCCAAGTCATTTAGCGTTGGTATTGTGGCCTTTTATGAAATGTGTTTTCATCTGAAACCCTGTCAGTGTTGAGGTTATCCTGATCTTTACATAGCATGGGTCTTATTCTGTGGGTTTCTGGAAGACCACAATACAATAGAAGTATAATCAGGCCACATTTCTTTCAGGCAAAGTCATGGTAACAAATATGGGCCATTATGTGATTCACTGCCAATCATCTCCCCATATATGTATGCTGTTGTTTCTTCATTTTACTAATTGATCAAGCACTATGAAAGGTTGTTAAAACACATGTGCATTGGTTTGATGTCATAGTTTGCTCATTATACGTTGCTTTAGAAACACATTTCTGCAGCAGGAGTATTTTTATTTTCTTCTTGTAACTTATTAAAAAGCTGAATTTCTTCCATCCTATTTTAACATCAAGTACTGTTGTTTAATAAAATGTTCTCCACTCTGTGTGGTTCACCTAACTTCTATTTTTCATTGCTCTGTCAGACGCCTCAGCAGGGAACGGCATACTGACCAAAGCTACAGTCCCAATCTATGCCACTGGAGTGCTGACCTGTTACAATCAGGTAACTTTAAATCTACAGAGAGCCTAGTGCTGTTTTTTTTTTTTTTTTTTTTTTTTTTTTTTTTATGCGACACGCACCTGGCTTTTCCTGGCCAATATTTGATGTGATTACTAGTTTATCCTTTTTTTTTTTTAAAAAAGACCGTAACACTTACAAATTCATTTGTGCAAGTTTTATATTCATTCACAACTTAAATATTTGCTACTGGATGACCATAAATGAAATGATTTGTTAGAGATTCCCCGATTATAAATTGGTTGAAATAAGATAATCCACATTTATGCTCAGCAGACAATGCATCAGCAAATGCACTGTTTATTTCATAATGATATTGATTCATTTTTCTTCTAAATTTAGCATTATCTATCTTTTAAATTTCTCACTGGGTACCAGAAAATTAGATTGAAAGAAGTCTAATGTTATTGTAAATAACAAAAATGTAGGAAGCACTTAAAAACCCTGATACAGAAATGAATAATCATTTTGTGTGTTGGAACCAGGGAGGCATGATACATCATTAGCACCGGTATCGGCCAACCTTAGTAATATTTTAACATATCCGTCTGATAAGTTTTTAATCAGTTTTTTGTCACAAGCGGTATTTAATATCTGATTTCAGCCCAAATGTTCATATCGGTGCCTCCTAGTTTTCTAAAAGTACCTACATAAGTGGATATGAAAATGCTAGTATGTTAGATTTATATGTACTCAGATGAAGTAGCCGATCAAATCTATGCAGGAGGAAGATCGTAAGCTGTTGGTGGGTTTCCTGGAGGACGTCATGACGACCCTGTCTCTGTCTCACGCTCCTCTCGACAGCCTGAAGGCCTCCTTTGTAGAACTTGGGTAAGGCACAAACACACAAATAAATACATATAACATAATAATTAAACGGATGACGGCAGAGTTTGTCGTTTCATGTTTTTGCCCATGTCAGTGCCAACCCAGTGTATCATGAGCTGCTGCTGACTGTCTTATGGTACGGGGTTGTCCATACGTCTGCTCTGGTGAGGTGTACCGCAGCACGAATGTTTGAGGTACAAACTAAACTCTTATATCGATTTTTATTCAACTATCAGAATATTTTTTTTTGTCACATTCTTACTAAGACACTGAAATAAATAATGTAATATGTTTTAGAAGCATCAAAGAGTAAATATAATCTTCTTTATTTGTTGTACTTTAGAATTATTTGTAGTTCTAATTTATTAGATTATTATTTAATTTACATAAGTTCTTAATTATAAAGTGACTGTAAGTATTTAAATATTTGCCTGCAGTTTTTAAACATATATTTACCTTAGTGCAGTATGCATTTATGTTAATGTTCATCTATTTGCTGTAAATGTGCTAGCCTTGCTTTCTGCTGCTGTTGCTGCTTTAAGATGCATATGATATTAAGCTGTTGTGTCTTTTGAATGTAAGTGAAGACTTTAGCAAAAAGGTTCTCAGCACTCTGGTTCCAGCTGTGATGGTTAAACCCTCCTCAAGCCAACGTCAGGTCTTTTCACTGCACAACGATCTCAGAAGCTGCTATAAAAATACCTGCTCTGTGTCGAAGCGCTGAGGTCAGCAAACTGAGAGCAGTCTGTAATGAAGATGACCCAAAAAAAAAAAAAAACCACATTATTTTTACTGTCAGAATTTCAGGCCCTGTGGAAACAGAAATGATTGCTGATCTGCAGTAGTTTCCTGATTGGGATGATTGAAACCTCTTGAGGCAAAATATTCAAACTGAGCTCTGTGCAACCTTTAGATCAGATGTCGGCATGAGGGTCTAGTTAAAGCAGTGGAACTTTGCTTATCTTTATAAACGGGGGAGGAAGAATGGGAAGCTGTCTTCATGTCCCCCCTGTTTTGTAAATTTTGTACCCTTTCCCAAAGCACATCACTTTCACCATCCCATAGTGTACAGTCGTCCACCATCGTTAGGACTGTGGATTGGAGGGGGAGGGGGGGGGCCTTTGCCACACATGCCAGATCAAATTCCCTGCTTTTTAAAATGATTTCCTGATTTTAATTGGATGAAATGATTTGATCTGGAGTTTGTGGAAAGAACCCACAGCTTTGAGCTCGCTTTACCGTAGTTGAATCTGAGCTAGAGTACGAGTGGATGTGTGTGAGTGTGTAAAACTGTGTGTACACACACTTGCCTGATACGTGTAGTGCCGTTCTGTGCCTTGCAGCTACAGTTCTTGTCATTGTATATCACTTTATTCCTATCTTTTTTGTGTTTTTTTTTTCTTTTTCCCTACTTTCTTTCTTTCTTTTGCTTTTTTGTTTTGTTTTTGTTTTGTTTTGTTTTTCTTCTCTGTCTTTTGCCGGTGTTGCTCGCTCTTGTCCCAAACGCCCCGCCCACCTATGTGACTTCACGGCTGGCTCTGTCCAATCCGATCAGCTGCTGGTGAAGGGGGTGAATGAGACGCTGGTAGCTCAGAGAGTGGTGCCGGCTCTCATCACACTGTCTTCCGACCCTGAAATGTAAGTGGAACAACAGTAAAAAACAATGCTGCGTCTCTTTCCCCCTTCTCTCTGCCGCCTGACAACTATCGCACTAGAACGAGTCTGCACCTGCGTGGAGCAAATTTTACCCACAAAACCCAGTCGTTTCTAACGGCATTGCGTAATCCCTCTGAGGGCTCAGGGTTTCAGTGAGACCGTTTGCATTAAATTGGCTTTGTTTTGTCGTTTCAAGAGGCTCCTGTTTAGGTTTGGGCTGTGCTAGGGTGGTTCTACTGCGCAGCCACTGTTTCACACGAATTTTCTGCAAGTGTTCGCCATCAACCTGCAACACTAGCGCATGCCAGCTCTCATCGCCTCATCTGTCTTTTAACACTAACCCGTTCCCTTCAGATCGCTGCATGCAATACCGTCCAACAGCATTATCCCTGCATGTTCATTTGTTCCTCCCGACCCCTCCTCTTCCTCCCCCACCCTCTCCTTATTGAAGCAGGGCATCTTCTAAAGGATTCTATTGGTGGTTGGTTATATTTTTTGCCCCATCTCTCTACTTATCCTGTCACCCTGTTCTTTTTTTTTTTCTTTCACTCTAAAACCTGTATTATCCCCTCTATCTCTGCCTCTCACTCTCACCTCTCCTTTCCCGTACCTCTCCCACTCTCTCATCCTGCTGTGTGGTGGGTTTGCAGTTGGTTCTTCGAGGCATGAGTGAAGCATTAGTTGACCGTCGGGCGGCTCCAGCCCTAATAACACTGTGCAGTGGGCCTGAATTGTGAGTTAATCAATGCAAAAACAGAAAGCAAACTCTGAAGTCATTGTCATTTTGTTGGCTGCATCCTTACAGTGTAACATGGTTTCTTTGTTTGCATTTGCCTTAGCAATGCCACATGTTGGATACCATTTAACCTGCAGAAAGATGAAATGGAACTGAAAGACTTTTAATGACAAACTTTGTAGCAACCCTGTTGGAATGTAGCCTCTTTCATATCATCATTCTATGTAAATACACGTTTGTACATGCAGTTGGCATGAGCTTCTACATTAAACCTGTACACATTTTTATTTTTAATATCTTACTGTTTGTGTGTAGCTTAAAAGAAAATGTTGCACAATTGGCAGAATATGAGAAAAAATCAGAAATTAAATATTTTTTACATTTACACTGGCCATGACAGGGATACCTGTTTAACCTCGTATAACAAACCGCTCACTGAAGAGCAATTTCCCAACATCTAAAACGGCTCAAGTAAACTATATTATTGATTGCAATGTGCATCAAATTTTATCTGTGCTTCAGATGGATCTACATAGTTAGTCGGTTTAAGACAGACTGAACATTAGTATTATCTGAACACATAACGCTAATTAACCACACTGTCCATTTTACTTAGCAACTATCAGATTAAAAAGGATATAAAGGTTTACGATTGGGAATTGTTAAACTGCTTTGCACTTTTTGGGATTTAGCTTAAGATGACTGAAATCTCCTCTGGAGTAGAACCCAGTTTTATTAGTCCTTATCTGACTTCTTCATCCAAACATCTTCCTTCTCCAATCTATAATCACCGTGAGAGCCCATTTGTGGTCGGTGACGAACACTCAGACGGACACAGACAGAATCTACTGTCCGTCTTTGACGCATATTCTTATTTGTCATCAGCTAGCTTGTAGTTCCTTCTCCCAAGTGCAACAAATGAAACACCATTGCTAATCGTTGGGGAGTGTGACACACACTGGCTTTGTAGTCTGTGCTAATGGGCCTCAAATGCTGTTATTTACATGTAATATACTGACTACTGTCAAGTACTCCATAGATCCTCACTTTAGGAAATCTTTAGCTTTTAAGCCATTTTACAAAATTGACTGTTACCTTTTGTGTGTTATTCATTGGTTTAGAAACAACTGACTCTGTCTCTCGACTGAACGCTAAATGTCAGGTTTGATCTGATGTTATCTGCAAATTGTTGCTCTTTCTGTTTTAAAACCCTGAAAACTCAAGGCAGGTGCTATAATCTTGCATCGGTGTCCTCATTTACCAACCATAGGGCACATTTTTAATACCTTACCACAACTGAACCCCGAGTTAATCATTAGTAATGAGAACATCTCCACTGCAAATGCTCAGTCAGTAGTACTGTTCGGCAACAAAGCAGGTTATGCAGCCCAGACTGGGATGCAGAAATCAGTCGGGTATTGGAGATCAGTTGTCCAATTGCCACCTCCAGTTAGCTCAGCCTAAATGTTACATCTGCTCATGAAAATAGCTAAACGAAGCTTGAACGAGCTACACAACAACCACCTCTGTCTTATTTAGGGTTTCAAGTCGGCTCATTACGCTCTAAGCACTGCATTTGGATGAAACGTAGAACACATGTTAGCCACAGCAAACCTACTCCTTTGTGGTTTCGCTCATTGTAGTCTGAAGGTGCCACTGAAATTAAGGAATGTGCATAAATACATAATTTAAGTTTTGGAATCAGATTGCAGCTTTGTTTTGAAAACCTGAAAGTGGCCTGGGAAACCTGTAGGAGTCTCTCCACTGATGACAGCCTCTGCAGCCACACGAGCCGCTTTAGTGGGACCCAAACACCACAATCTACTCCTGCAAATGCTTTAAAATACGGGGCATCTTTTTTGCAGATAACATTTAGGTCTTTCTGGTTGTGGTTTAAAGTCAAATTATTTAGAACAGAGTGACGCAATGGCAGAAAGTGGTCAGTGTTTCTTTTGTGTGTTTTCCTGCCGTTTGCAGATCGGTTAGGATCGCCACTATTCCTGCCTTTGGTACCATCATGGAGACTGTCACACAAAAAGAGGTAAGGAAATTTCCCAGACGACTGAGACGCTGCGCTTGTTTCACGGCAATTTTCCACATCTGTGGAAATTTCAGCTAATACTTTACGTGTTTGTGCGTAGCTGCTGGAGCGTGTGAAAATGCAGCTGGCGTCGTTCCTCGAAGACCCTCAGTACCAGGATCAGCACTCTTTGCACATGGAGATCATCAGGACGTTCGGAAGGGTCGGTCCCAACGCAGAGCCGCGCTTCAGAGACGACTGTACGCACCATACGCCACACAACAACCTCTCCCGTTCTGCACAGTCACGTTTTTGCGATGCACACTAAGGGTTTGTTTGTGCTTTTGACTTCTTTGTGTCCCTGAAGTTGTTCTCCCGCACCTTCATAAGCTTGCATTAGCCAACAACAGCCAGTCGGTGGAAAGCAAGAGGATCGACATCGCCATCCACCTGTTCGAGGCCTACAGTGCCCTCTCCTGCTGCTGTATCCTTCATTTTTCTTGCTTTGATTCTAGGGCTGCAACCAACCATTATTTTAGTCATCGATTATTCTGTCAATTTTTCTGATGATTGATTATTCTGATTTTTAAGCGATTATTGTGATGCTTAATCGATTAGTCAGATTAAAAGAAATTGGCTCATTCTGCAGATTTAACCAGGCCTTTTGTAGTCAATGTTAGAAATATATTAAAATATGCAAATAAATAAATAATTCAATAACTTCTTTTTTTTTTTTTAAATAAGAAAATGCTTATTTTCTTATTTTGTTTCATGAAATGCAGTAATATAGCATTTCTTTAGTGTATTCCTGATCATTTGCAGAAAAAGATGCATCTTTAACAAAAGAAATGCTGTCTACTAGTGTTTACTTTATGGGATTAATATTTGGATAGCAAAAGATTTTTTTTTATTTTTTATTTTTTTTTACAGAATTTGAGCCAGGTCATGCTAGAACTGCTACCTTAGGAGTTCTGTTAAAATCTATTTACACACTGGGCAAAATCCAACATTTTTTTTTGTAGTTTTGGCTTATTTACTAGGGTGGTGGTCTTTCAGCAAATGAGCTTGCGTGTGTGTTTGTGTGTGTGTATATGCCAATGAGCAATTACTAAATTAGATGATGATTATTTCCATAATCAATTAATCACGACTAATTCGATTAATCGTTTCAGCTCCATTTGATTCCAACTTGCCATGAAGAAAAACTTTAGAGGTAACCTGTTCAGTTCAGGTATTTACTCCGTCTTTGTCATGTGTGAGTCAGTGTGTGACGGGACAGAAAGCTCGCCATGCTGCTCTGGTTTGCTCCTGGATGTTGACCCAGTTGCTGGTACGTATCGGTGTGGTCTCACTGCCTGAGAGTGTGGTTGACTGTGTACGTTGGCTGGCTTTGCCTGTCATTTGGCAGTAGGAGAAAGGAAAAGCAAGCTGTCTCCATTCTGGGGATGCAAGTAATTACAGGGTTGGTTCGGTAAAGGAAAGGATGAGAAGCAAGAGAAAGTGTGTGAAGAAAAACAGCAGCTCCAATCCTCAGCAACAGCTCTCTGGACAGGATCCTCATTTGCGTTGCATTTGCTTCACCTCTTTCATCCCGCTCGTCTGTGATTCTTTTTTCCTTCTCTCGGCCGCGCCTTTCCTCCGTCGGCCGAGCCCCACCCAGGTCCAGAACACACAGACAGAGCCCAGCTGGCCTGAGGTTCATTCCTGTGGATTTTTGTTAGGCTGTCATTTCAGTGCTGTCGTGTCCAGGAGGTGTAGCCCTAACCTCAGAGGGTATACCTCCCACTGTACGTTTTTTTTTCCTTCTTTTTCTTGTAATCAGTGTGACAGGCTCTGATGCTGTACATTCCCATGTCTAAAAATACACGTTTGTTCGCCGTTCGTCCCTCGTAGGCCCCTCAAACTTTGACGTGTGGCAGAGCCACGGCAGTCATGGATAAATTAGCAGCATTACCTTTATTCGCTTTTTGTTTTCGGTGGCAAGAGACCCGCCACTGAAAAAAAAAAAAACAGAGTCTATACCTTTAACAGTGAAAGATACAGAACATTAGATTTTCTCAGTACATTTACTGTATGTATTTTATTATTTCATATAGATGCTGAAAATATCTAAAATGGAAATTAAAAATCTTGGGCTTGAACGGTAGTTAAGCTCTCAACATGTTTACACATTTAGCAAGGGAGAAACACTAAGACTAAATAAAATTCATATTTTATTCAGCTTTAAAAATAATTTCCCAATTGATTCTGACAAAATAACTTAGTTTTTTCACCATTGTCGAGAACTGGGGTCCTTGTTTTGCATCAATCAAAGCCAATTCTTTTTTTTTCTCTTTTCTTTGCTTTTTTTCTGTTTTTTTTTGTTTGTTTGTTTGTTTGTTTGTTTGTTTTGCTTTTGCTTGGGAATGTTCCTTTAAATTTACTGTAAGTTTCGTCTGTAAAATTTTCTGCACAGAAACAGAAAGAAAATTAGTATTTAACTACTTATTGTAAAATAAAAGTAAACTTTTCCATTTATCTGTGGAAAAAATCCACACAGTTGAAATAAAAACAGAATGGAAAATTTTAAAAGCATGGAACTTAAACCTGGAACTCTTGTTTCAATTCTGTCTGTAGGAAGCCATCTGTGTATTGGTCTTCAAGGATGATCTTGATCAGTGACTTTTATTTATTTATTTTTTTTCCCCTCCCAAGAGGTTTGGGGGAATTTTGATCAAATAGTTTATTGTTGAGTCAAATTTTGCATCCCATGCTTCTCTGGGAGTTATTCTGGCACAAAATCATCTAAGGAGTTCCCTCAGTCTGGCAGCTCCTCCACTGTGTTCTGATTGGTTATGTACCGGTTGCTTCTTTGTTAGATTCTCCCATCAATGGAGGCAATATCAGGACTTCATTCATAATGATCACAGGCCTTGGTGAGCCATGTGCTGTGCTTCCCAGGGAAGTCAGATCTAGCTCATATGTCTAGGTTTTTAAATTGCGCAAAAGTCCAATTTCAAGTGAAAGTTGTTTTTGTTTTTAAAAACCCATTTACCTAGAGACAGTCCTGTGCTGAAGATCATCTTCTGAACTGGTGTACTGCAATTCCTCTTAGTCACATCACTACCATCTAGTTTGACAGATGAGTTATGTCTAAACTGTGATCACTTTTGAGAAATTTGAATAAACAGGGACTGATTAATTCAAACAACATGAGCTGCTGAAGTGGTATGCACCAGAAAGTAGTATAGTATGTGGTAACAAAGAGTCTGAATCATCATGGCGCTGGAGCATAGTTGCTCTTTGTGTAGCTTTGTCTGTAAGCAATTAATTGAAACCACATTAAGAGTTGTTATAAGACAACAAAATCTGGAAACTTTTAAAAGCCTGAAAAACCTTTTATATACTAATACATTTGTGACGCTTTAAATGAACCGGCACCAAGATTTCTTTTCATTCTCGTCCTTAACGTGTCGCGTTGTCCAGTCATTTCTGAGGAGGTCATAGTCAACCATTTCCTGCCAGGCCTCAGGTGTCTGCACGCTGATATGGAGCAACTGTCTCCAGAGCATGAGGTCAGGAGACACACACACACACGCTCATACGAACAGGGGATTTCTTTTTTTCTTCTTCTTCTCACACACCTCGAATTCACAGACGTGAATATCTGCATTCTCAAGAACTGCTGCACCAGGCTGCCTCATTTTTTCATTCATAATTCCCAGGGTATCCGTCTGGCTCTTTACATCTTTCACGGAAACACTCAGACACACACCTAAAATATTTATTTTGGTCATCAAGTCTCACGCTATCCAGTTCATGTGAGCATTTTCCCAATGTGACTAATGATCAGTTGAGCCGTCGGCTCTGTACATTCGCTTTGTCCCTGTGATCCTGATACCAGGGTTCAATTATGTTACAGACGCAGCATTTTAGTTTTGTCAAGTTTAGCATCTTAGTTTTGTCAAGTTCGGTGGGTTATTCAGCGTCTCGGAACATCCAGCTAATTTATGTCACGTGGAGGTTACAGATGAAGTTTGTGTAAATCATTTTAGTGTTTTACAGATGGGACGTTTCAGCTCAAACTGAGTTTTTTTCCCCCCCCAACAGGTGATTCTAGGGTCTATGATCAAAGAGTGTGAAATAAAGGTGGAAAACAGAGGAATTTCTGACGCACAAGGGTGAGTCTCTTCTTCACTGGAAAATGTTTTCATACCATATTTAAACATAGTATGTCAAAAACGATGCATATCCTTCTCAATAATCAGAGTTTGTATAGATCCGTACGGGGATTCTAGCAGAGCCAAACGTAAAATTTTCAGCTTGTTAAAATTAAAAGATGAATTTACACCTAAACCCTCCATGGTTGTGGTAACAGCTGTAATCTTTTTCATCTTACAATTGTAGAGCTTGCACCATATCACAAGATATTTCATTTTAAGCATCATTTTAAAAAGATTAACAGTTTCCAGGTTAATATGTTTTAGAAACAAATGCTTTATTATGTTAGGCAGGCAAATCTTCATTCATACTGTAATAGTGAGGCCTATGCAGCCATTCTGTCCTGAATTATCATTATTTGTATAAGAAACACAATGAGAGCAGCAGTAAGACAGGATTTATGTATGATTTCAAAACAAATTAAAAATCTTTACTGAGCTAGCATGTGATCTTGTAAAGATTAGCAAGACTAGAGAGGTTAATCTCCATTTGCAAACTCCTCGTAATGTAAATAGCCGTTGTATAAATGTTACAGTTTCCTAAACGAGGATTACTGTTGTTGCCGTGAACGTTAATATGAGACGCTCACTTGTCATAAAAAAGGATTGGATTTTTGAGTTTTAAGTTTTGAGCTGACCTAGCTTGGTAAAAACCAGCCCCTTGTTCTATGCTATTTGTTTCATACAGAGGGTCCAATTGCTTCCTGGAAGCGTGGATTATGTTGAATCGCCTAACTGCTGACGTTTGCAAGTGCCGTGCATAATGCGCCAGTTCAATGCAGTGAAGGTTACTGGAAGTAATCTGCCCTGTAAACATACATCCTCCACTGCGAATAGAGAAGTGCCAAATCGAAAAAGGCGGCTCTTAATGTTAATTCAGTATTTCGAATTGTGGCCGTCATGGACTGCAGATCTTCCACTGCCATTGGTAAACCTACGAATAGACTGCAATTCTAAAGCAGCGCAGAAAATCGACTTCGTCGTTTCCAACTTCTCCTTTTGTTCGCCAATTGGCCTGGTAGAGAATTTTCTACCAGAGAATCCAAACAAAGGGGAGAAAGACCAGACTGTGCTGCAAGCGAGAATTTTTAAGTGGAGATGCACAGGAAGGCAATGGCCAGGCTGTACTTTTCCAATATTTATAATTAACTGGCAAGCCATTACATTTGTAGTCATTTCACCTAAAGTTTTGACTTGTAGAGAAGTTTCTCTGGCGTGTAGCTGACATGTTGATCGATCTATTCGTTGTAGGAACAATGGTCCCTTTTATGAAGATTCGAACACAGGGGTAAAGAAGAAAATGAATGTGCTTTAAGAAGTCAGAATAGCTGAAAAAGCTGGTCTTCATTTGATCAGCAATGAGCTTATTGACCACAAAACCTAAAGTGTTTCTGTGCTGATACGAACACAACTTTCAGTTCTCCTGGAACACGTCTAAAAAATATTTGTAAGATTTTCATCAGACCAGAAATTTCGACGGTGTTCCACAAAAAAAAAAAAAAAAGGAGTCGCTCAACTGGAAAACTGAAACCTTGTGAAACTCACCATTTTCTTTTATGAGCTCTTCTGAACCATACGCTGTTTGGTAACGCTGACCACTAAGACTCAACATCCCTATGCTCATTGGCTCTTGTTTACAGTTGCCGTTAAGATATGATGTTTGTTCTTCTGTTGAGCAATGGAGCAGTTCAGTCCGGTGCTGTTAAAGTCTCCACTGCATCAGCCAGACTCGTAACTAACCCAAAAGAGGAACTTAAGGAGCCGTTGGACTGTAAAGATCAGGAGCGTTTCAGCTGGCATGTAGTATTTCCTCTTTAAAAAAAGTCAAGCAAAGGGTAAAACATCTGACAGCAGCAACGTTAAAGATAGAAACGTTGCTTTTGTTTTTAACAAATATATATTTTTCAGCTCATGATTTCAACATTTTTTATATACAAATTGAAACTATTTTGGCCTTTTTGTGTGTGTGGTTTTTCCTTTAATAGATCAATTTCTATTGCCTCCAGTTTGGTGGGTGAAGATGCCAAGACCAAGTTTCTGAGTAAGATGGGTCAGCTGACCACTTCTGGAGCAATGCTGGCCAACGTCTTCCAGAGAAAGAAGTAACCGACTGACGTCCGACGAGCCATCGCGATGAACTGACAAAGCCCCCTGTTGTTCCTGGGAGCGTTTTATTTCAGTGAAGAAAGCTCTGGTTCAGCCCAAAGTAGTTACGCAATTGTGTTGTTAAATCAAAAGAACGATTAGACATGAAAATAATGCTGCAGAGATACGTACTACTTTAAGGAGAACTGAAATGTTTGCAGTGAAAGCCTGTGAAGTTTTTCTCTCCCTTTCCCCCCACCCCCACTTTTCCTCCTTAATTCTTTGTCACGACATGCGCAATGTCAAGAACTGAGGGTCTGGCTTTATTCGTCAGTGTTAACATTTTCATTTCAGAAAAAAAAAAAAAAGAGGCAAGGGGATTGGGGGGTGGCGGGGGGAAGCAGAACACTACGGATACTCTGGCAAAGTGATGACAAGGAACTTGAAATGATCACAGAATTGGATTTAATTTGAACCTTTCGAAGTCATCCACTCCAGGAAACATAACTCTGAGCTCATACTGCAGGTTTTCATGAAGAACTTTAAAGTGCACCCTTTTTGTGGTGGAAGGTTTCTTTTTTTAAAATAAAAATAAAAAAAGGTGTGGTAACTTGAATTATTTTGGGAAATTAAGGCAAACGTTTGAACTGCAAGGCCGTGCATCTGTTTAAAATGACTTATACGGTGTGTCTGTACTTAGAAGTGTTGCCTACTTGAAATTATTCACATTTGTCTTGCCTTTATTTCTTTGAGGTCTGTACTTGACAGCTTCCTATTTTATTGTTTATGTCTTAATGAAGGAAAAACAAACTTTATTCCAACTTCCAAAGAAATTTGCACTTCACTTTGCTTATTTGTTCTTCGTAATGGATCTTTGTTGCTTTAATGTGGATTCTTATACATGATGATCATCACTACCTTTTTTTTTCCCCTCAATTCTGACAATGTAATGTTAAAGCAAACACTGGTCTTAATCATACCTTCTCTGGCCGTTGCATCTTGTCTCTGTGTTGCCGTTTTTCTGATTGTACTTTTTTTTTGTTTGTTTGTTTGTTTGTTTTTTTCCCCTCCAAGAATGTTGATATTTGGTTTTAATGTCCGTTTTGGAGAAGCTCAAAGAGAAACGGCAAATATCTGTACCATACACTGACCTGAGGAGGAGCTGTACTCTGTATATTTGAAATGTATGTCATGATGTAATAAATGATGGATTGGTTGTGTACTTTCTGACTTCTTCTCCCTGCATGGCTTTTGAACGGTTTCCTTTTACGAGCGTGGAAGAGCTCTCCACAATCTCGCCGCGGCTCGAGGCGTCGGCAGGTGTGAAAAGCTGTAAAGCAGCCATTTCAAAGGGAGACAAAACAACATGCGTACTGTTTTTCACGTCCAGCTTTTTGATGTGGTCTATTGTGCACTTTGTGCAATAAACCAAAGTCCATTTTATGGGACATTCCCAACATCTTGCCCAACATACGTACACCCCCCACACAACCCTTACATCGTTTCTTCATAGGAATTCCGCCATTATCTTGTACAAACTTTCTTTTTTTTTTTTTTTTGCCCTTTCTTGTTGACATTTTAGCCCGATTCGCCACATTGATTTGCGTTTTTAATTAGAAAAAAAAAAAAAAAAACGGCCTTTTATTTATTTAGCGTTGGACCTGTGGCGGTAGGGCTGTCAATGAGATAAAGAGCAGAATTTGCATATCCAGGCTAATATTCTACAACCATCGCTGATAAGTGACCAGGTGGGTAAATACTCGATTCACTCCAGATTGGGAGGGAAGCGGATCGTGAAGGTGTGCCGCGGCGTCCGTAGAGATGCGTCTGTCCCGGCAGGTGCCTGTGTCATTTGCATCGATGGTGAATAGTTCGCTTCTTCCTGCGTCAAAAACAACTATATGTAAAGTTACGGTAAATGGTAAACATACCTACTGTTTCTTTTTAGGTTTTACATATCAGGATGTTATGATGATAATAAAAAAAGGCGTCATTCAGTGGCTGCTATGTCCTCAAATGAAGTAAACAACCCCAGGTAGATAGCATCGTCCTGGGGGGGGGGGACTTTTGATGATCTAATCGCTTTTGAAATCCACTTTTGGTAGCAAAACCGAAAGAAAATGCCTCGTGTGTGACTTTAGCAGTTTCTCACATTGATGTGGAGGAATGTTTGCTGCTTCTACGCAGTACTGCTTCAGCTAACTCGGGTTTAACATGATTTGTGCAGTTTTACTTCACGGTGATCTTTATAGGCATTATGCCTGTTGACTACCCAGCTTCCTGCAGATTTCTTCAAACATTTCCTTACGTTTCACTGAAACCATGGTGACATCCATGCACAACTAGTAGAGTAACTTACCGATTACTCCACAAGGCATCACTTTAAACTATCCCTATAAACTGAGCTGAATATGTTGAATTTCCCTCTGAGGTTAATGGAGTATGTTTGAATCGAAACTCCTACCACAGCATTCATCTTCAGTTCAGTATTTATTTTTTCAGTCTATCTATTGCCGGTTTATTGCCCTGTTAAGCATTTAAAGCATGTTTTTTTTTTTTTTTTAACAGAATATAATGACTTTCAGACACTGCCATGGTCATCGTCACCCCTCCACCACCGTGCTTGACAACAGGTGATGAGTGCTTGTGATTACATGCTGTGATTTGATCTTGCCAGACCAGGTGCTGTGAGCATTAAGGCCTCTGCTGCAGCGCTGGGGTCCAAGTTCTTGCTCGTTTCGGGGAGGAGGATGACTCATGACTCCCATCTGTCCTGAAACAGAAGAAGCCACGCAGATGCAATAGGAAAACCACCGGAACATTGTGGCTGTATCTGAACAATATTATTCCACTCTGTGTGGATATGAGGGTTGGTGTGTGTATGTTTTTCTTGCTTGTGCTCTTGTTACCGTGTCCGTTGGAAACCCAAGGCGATGCCAAGAGCTTCCTTTGAAATCTGTTTACAAAAGCAGGCTTTGGATGTTTTGATTTAAGTGAAAATCTGTGTTTTGTGTTACAGTTTATTAAATGTGTTAGTATTCTTTTTTCTTTTTCTTTAAATAGGACATCTGAAGCAGTCTGTCTTTATGAACTCCATAAATTGTTGACTTCTGGTGCTGGCAAACACAGCCGTTATGCTCACAGATTTCGGTCAGCACCCGAGTATAAAAGTTTTGGCCTGTTTGTTTGCCAAAGAGCTGCAGTTTTGAAACCGATTCTGCAACTGTGTTTAAAATGGAGCCAGTCACTGCTCACTTAGTGGCAGCATTTCAGGTCTAAAGTCTTAGAGAGATCACATGTAAATTTTTGTAGTTTAATTAAATTCCACTTGAGGTTTGTGATTGCTAAGAATTAAATCCTAATTGCTACTGCATACTCACCACAAACCAGCTCCTTTCAGCAAGTTTTTACTGGGATACAGACCATTAACTTTACTGGCAAAATTTCAGTCTTGTGTTGGTGTTTTTTTGTTTGTTTTGGGTTTTTTTGTATCCTGAACTCCAAAAGAATTAGAAAGCTCGAACCATCATGATTTTGGGATTTTGCTTCTGATGTAATCAAGCAATCATGAAAATATATGCGAAAGGATATGAAACTGCATTTACACAGCAGTCCAAAAAATGCTCACTGGTACTGCAGCAGTTCATGACTTTGGAGTACGATCGAGAAGAAACGATTGTGCAAGCTCAGCCAAGTCCTCCAAGAATGTACGGTTTGATTTCAGATTTGCATAACTGTCAACTTGAGGAGATTGTGTTCCCCACTTTCTCCAAACTTTCATCCCCTCACATGCCAAGGTGGGCTGAGCCATGCAAATTCACAAGGAAATAAACCCAGTGTTGTTTTTCTTTCCTGGGAATAGGGAACAGCCGCATGATTTCCTGGAGGCAATCATTGAACTTCATAAAATTTACTTTTGTTCACTGTGCAGATGATGAAAGCTGTTAACTAGACCCACACTCCAGGAAGTATTTGTTGGCCCCAACCCACACAGGTTCTATGACGAAAACCTAAACAGGAAAGTTAAACCCGCCCCTGAGTTTTGCACCCTTTGGCGTCTTGATGGGTCCAGCTCTGGTTTCTGTGACGTCATCGCTCCTCGAGGCCGTGTTGTGGCGTGATTTTTCACCTGCCGAAGTAACCTTTGTGAGTCATTCGGTGAGTGGGTCTGGGGATGACCCCTGTAGGCCTGTGGGTGGCGGTACCTACGCCGCAGTTTTGCATGTGAGCGCCTTTTGTGTAAACCGTAAGGTCAACTTATTACCCGAAGGTTTTTTCACGCACTCGCAGACTCGTACAGCTGAAACTGGCACTTGAGGTTTCTGTTTTATTATTCAATAAACTGGATTGTATTTTTACATTCAGGCAGATGGGAGTATGGAGTGGGTAAATAAATATGTATGTGAACTTAGCTCCTCTAAACCCAAATTATTTCATCCTGAATTAAAATAATTCATAGGATGGAAACCATCGGTTTTGGAGTTGATCAATGCAGGAATACCCGTGGATGGTAAAAGCTTTACAAAGCTGTTAAGTGATAAAGTTCTTAACTTTTAAAATTTCAGAAACTAATAATTGGAGGGAAAAAAATGCTTACAGGCTACTACAGAAATGTATAGATTTAAGAGACAATAAAAGAATGTTTTATGTTGATGTCAGTCGAACTGTCTACTGAGGAGGCAACAGTGACAGTCTGCTAAAATAAAGAAATTAGCACAAAAGTTTGAAAATTTGTTAAGAAAGAAGAAAATATCATCACCACTTAGCGTCGCTATGTATATTGTGTGTCTTATGGGAGGGGAAGTGCAGAGTGAAATGATTCTCTACAGTTTTCATAGAAAACTTGTGCTAAAAAAATGCACACGATTCTGTTGGACGACTAAACAGATTCTGTGTAAGCTTCAATTGAAAACTAAAGAATAATGATGGACTTAAGGTTGTGCAGTTTGTCAAATATCTGGGCTTATTCACATAATATTTCCCCAAAAAATCTTAACTGATTAAAAAAACAACCAAAAAAAAAAGGGAGTTTCATAAGGGGTTGCATCAATAAATCAGCCCAGATTTCTTTAATTTTAAGAGATCTGTGATCGGTAGATATCTACAGTCAACATTATCGATCTATCATATCTACCTCCTCAAAGGTCTAAACATCAACCACTGTCTTCTTTCGCTCTGCCACGAGAGGTTTGACTGACTCACACAACAGGTTATGTCTGAACATTTGTGGTTATCAATAGTCACCCCACAGTGGGGTTACCAAGAAAGTCACTGAATATTTTCAGGAATATTTCGGGCAAAAAAGTCGGTATCGGCTTAAATTTGAATGACCATTCCGGCCTTCTTAAAGTTTAGTAATCGTTTATCTGCCAAAAAATACTACAAATGCTACATCTTTACTAAATATGGTTCAAAATCTCAAGATTCTGTTGCTAAACAGGGACAAATTTGAC